GGTAAGGCTAAGGTGAAGACTGCCCAGGGGGAGGAAAGTCTGACCTTTAACTTTTAAGGAAGTGCTGCTGCTCGCACTGCCTGCGGCATTGTGGGCCTCGCATGTGTAGTCCCCACTGTCCTCCACACTCAGGCCATGCATTTCCAGCACCGCCACTGAGTCGACGAATGACATTCTGAATTTACTACTCTCTTGAATTTCAGTTTCATCTTTGTACCATAAAACTTTGATTTCCGGAGATCCGCCTATCTTGCATTCATATCTTGTGTATTCATCCTGTTTGACAATTCGTGAAGGTTCTAGCTTCTTAATGAACCTGGGTGGTTCTATGGAACCAAGGGGAAAAACACAAGTTAAGGGATGGAAAAGACACATATGATTCAAGATGAGATGAAAAAAGGCATTTCTGTCAGAGAATCCCTTAGTTCCAGAAAACAAATTCATTTAGTGCAGTTCAAGGAAGAATAGTTAAATGAAACCTAAGTAGAAAAATCCCTAAAATAGAACATGTATTTTTTTTTTGTATATATACAAATGTCAAGTATTATGACTAAAGGAAGGATGTTGCAATCCTCTTTCAAGCAAAGAAGCACTTCTCTAGTGCCAAGACCAGAGGCAATGGTTCTCATCTGTGTGACCAGTAGAGGACCATGAACTTCCTAGGGCTGTGAAGATGTCAGTGATGCACTATGAAGAGTCAGAGCAAAATGGGTCAGATATGGTAATATTTTTAAAGTACCATTATCTCTTATGGGTCTTAAATAGCTATTTCTTCGACCCTCTTAATTTCCTTTTGAAGTGGGTGAGATCAATGATTTCTTTATTAACTGAAGCCAAATATTCAGGCTTAGGGAGGTAAAAATGATTTGGTATATGTCATAGAGCAAATGGGCTGCTAAATCTAATTCTATTTTAATTTCAAGGTATTTATAAACCATCACCAAAAAAGAAAATAAAAAAATCCTTTAAAATGCTCTAATGGGTTAGATCAGCAGTCTACTGAGTTAAGTGTTTAATCTCTGACAATAGCTGCCATGAAAGGCATGATTGTCTTCCATAATATCAGATACTGATGTGCTACCCCTCAGCCCCTTGACTTCCACTATTAATTAAGCAGAGCTAGTGGAGGAAAAGAAGTTGACTTTATAATTAATCTGGATTCTTTTGGAAGGGCTTAAGAGTTTGGAGCTGAATTATGCCTTGGAGGGGGGAGAATCCATTGACATTCAGTAAGTACTATGGAAAATAAATCATTTGAGATAAATTTCTTCTTTTTGTCCTCTGGTAACTTCATCCGAACTTGAGTTTTCTTGCAATTCTGTGAAAAATTTTTGTTTGCTATCTCCCTAGTCTCTATTTATACACTTTGAAAAGAAATTTTCAGTTCATGTTTTTCCCAGTTTTATATTGAAAAATCAGTCCTTATTTGGAAGGCCCTTGAGCCATTTGATTCTTTTTTCTTTTTTTTTTTTTAATTAAGTGGCTAGGGATTGAAACCAGTCTTATACATACTGGGCAAGTGCTCTATCACTGAGCTATACCTCCATGCCCCATTTGATCATTTCTAATCACTAGACCATGGTCCTATACATACTTCTCAAGTATACCCACCATCCTGTATCTTAAGACATTGAAAATATAAGAGTTGTTGGTACTCCACTCTGACAAGTACCTTGTACACCCAGCTGAGCAGAACAAGAGTCTTTTCCAGCAACATTGCTTGCATAGCAGGTATACTGCCCAGCATCGCCTTTGGCTACTTGAGAACAGTCAGAGTGGCAGTATTTTCAACCAAAGTCATCTTGTAGTTGCCTCCGGGGCGAATCTCTCTGTTATCTTTGGCCCAGGTGATTTTGATTGGTGCAGTTCCAGTGAGGTGACATTTAAAAGAACCACTATCTCCAAGAGCAAGATCTACCGATACAGGTTTTAGATCAAAGAAAGGAGGCACTTCATGCTCTGAAAAGAATGAAGACCAACATGGCGATTTTAGTTGCCATGTTCCCAGACATGGAAAAGAAATTAAATGACAACAGTCCTTTGATGGCCAGAAGCAATGAAGCTGCTTTGTAATAAAGAGGGTAATATGATGTAATACTCACCTGAGAGAATGAGCTTGGCACTGGATGACGCAGTCCCAAGAGGATTGGAAGCTGAGCAATTGTACTGACCAACATGACTCTGGTCAGTTTGCAAAATCTGAAGAGTTGCTACATTATGAATAAAAGATGTTTGCAAATTAGAATCATCTTTCAAAAGTACCCCATCCTTGTACCAAGACACCTGAAGAGGTTCCGAGCCATTGATGCGACATTCAAATGCAACAGGGAAACCAAGAGTCTCATGAACATCCTTCAGTTTTCTTGCAAAGGAAGGTGGAAGTTTGCGCTCTGTAAAGAAGTTACAGATAATCCTTATTGACAAGAGAGCATACATCTCTAACATATCTCAACCCATTAAAATGCTGATGTTTCCAAGAAAATGAATCTGTCAACACATTGCAAGACTTGTTAAAGAAAACCATCGTCACCTTTGATAACAAGCACAGCTGAAGAAGCGACCGCACCCACGCTGTTCTCTGCCTTGCATGTATACTCTCCCACATCACTGTGATCCACTTTGTTGATGACTAAGGAGGCAACATTATTTTTGAATTGCATTTTGTATGCAGGAGCCGATCGTAGTTTTGTGTGCTCTTTGTACCAAGAGATTCTAATTTCTGGGGTTCCATCCACTTTACATTGTAAAGTTGTAGGCTCTCCAAGAGCTGCTTCCACATGTTCCAGAGGCTCAATAAAATAAGGTGGTTCTAAGGTACAAAGGATGGTAATCAATCAATCATGCTAATTCAAAGAGGACATTTCAGAAGGAAGAGAATAATAAAAAATAATAATAAAGAGGTAACTATCAACACACCTAAGACTGATACCAGAGCATCACAAATGTCTTGCCCAGCTTCATTTTCTATCAGGCAACTGTACTGTGCATAATCCTCTATTGTGCTGTCAAGAATTTCCAGTATGGAAGATTTTTCTGTCATGGTGATACTGCAGTTCTGAGACTGTGAAAGAGGAAACTCATTCTTCATCCAACTCACGGAGATGGGAGGTGTGCCAGTGTAGGTGGTCTCCAGAACTATGGGATTTCCTGTTTCAACACTGAAATCAGCCAGTCTTTTCACAAAAGTGGCTGGTTCTATAAGAAGAAAACGTGAGGGCAAGTTATACCTTCAAATGAAGTCTTAGGAAAATTTTTAAAAGATACAGGAATTGGAGAAAAGAGCAAACCTTTCACAAAAAGATGTGCGGTACAGGAAGCGCTGCCAGCATCATTGGTAACAAGGCAAGAATAGTCTCCACTCTGCAGTGGGTCTACCTCAAACAATTCCAGTTCTGTGACAAAGCCTTCCAGAGAGATGGTGCAAGACTCCCCTGACACCAGTTCCCTGCTGCCTTTAAACCACTTGACCTTGAAGGGAGGGGTGCCTCTAATGACACTGGTGAATGTCAGGCTCATTCCTGGTAGAACTTCCACAGAATCAGGAGTTTGTTCAAAAGATGGTGGTTCTAGATACCCCAGGGGGTGGGGGAAGTGAAAGAGAGAGGAAAAAAAAAAAAATAAGTGAGAAGTGTGCTTACTCCTTAAAGAAAAGGGAAGACTAAAAGTGAAGACAAAACAAAGGAATTCCTGGCCAGGCAGGTGTTAGGCATGGGGAAGAAGTCTTGCATTGCGCCTGTCCTTCACACTGACCTTGGACAGTCAGAACTGCGGAGCATTCATCAGAACCTGCCATGTTGGCAGCCACGCAGGTGTACGTGCCGGTGTCAGAGGGCTCCAGCGAGCTCAGTTTCAAAGTACAGACGTTTTCTGAAAAGCTGGATTGACATTTGGGCCCACTGACGATCTCATTTCCATCCTGAAACCAGCCTACAGAAATCGGGGCTGAGCCAGCGACTCTGCACTCCAGAACAGCTGAGGCGCCCAGGGAGGCGTGAGTGTCTTTCAGTTTGCGGATGAAAGAAGGAGGCACGACCCGATCTACATGGAGAAGGGTAGTTTTCCATTTAAAAAAAAAAAAAGTTTTATTTTTCCCCTTCAAGAAACAAATGGTGCATTTATAAACATCTCACTTTACTCACCAGAAACATGGACAGATACGGTACAGTTGCTTTTGCCAACACTGTTTTTCACTTCAAAGCTATATAACCCCTTGTCGCTCATTTCCGTGCAAGGGATTTTAAGAGAAGCCACGTTTTTGATAAATGTAATGTGATGTTTGCTGTCTGCAGATAATTCTCTTCCATCTTTGAACCATTTGGTTGAAAGTTCTGGTGTTCCAGCCACCACACACTCTAATGCAAAAGGATTTCCCGTAGTGACAGTCATAGGTTCTGGCTTCTCTATGATTCTGGCTGGTTCTAAAAGAAGAAGCATATTGCATTGAAAACAAAGTTACCATATTATAGCATTAAGAGTACTATTTGCAGAAAATGATCGCCGGGGTCAATTAATTTTTTCATGGACTGTACTTTGCTACTAACCTAGTACAGTCAAGACTGCTGAGCACTCTCGCATGCCAGCATCATTTTTGATTTGGCACACATATTTTCCAGAATTGGATGCTTCTGGGCTTCCCAGTTGGAGGGTTGCGATGTTATCAATGAATGAAATCCGAATGTTTTCACTCTCTCTGATGACTTCACCTTTATCTTTCAGCCAGACCACAGATATTGGCTGGAAGCCTTCCACCACAGCCTGTAACTCAATGGCATCCCCAATAAGAGTGGAGATGTCGCTTAACTTTTTCACAAAATGGGGAGGTTCTAATGGAAGAAATTTGTGTAGAGGGAAAAAAAATGAGAATCATAGTCACATCAATTATTAGTCAAGCAAGAAGAGATTAAAGGGAAAGGCATGTATTTTTGTGCCCATGTATACAAACCTTTGAACTTGACTGTGCAAACACACGTGTCACTTCCCACCTCATTACTGGCTTTGCAATGATACTCCCCTACATCGGAAGCTTCAAGATTAAGAATATGAAGACTGGTATCAAAGTTTTTGGAATCACAAAGGACAGTGTCACGCTGCACTGGGACCTGCCTCTGATAGATGGGGGCTCACGCATAACAAATTATATTGTGGAGAAACGTGAAGCAACAAGGAAATCTTATTCTACAGTTACCACTAAGTGTCATAAGTGCACATATAAAGTYACTGGCTTGTCTGAGGGATGTGAATACTTCTTCAGAGTGATGGCAGAAAATGAATATGGAATTGGAGAGCCAAGAGAAACTACAGAACCCGTAAGAGCCTCCGAAGCACCATCACCCCCAGACAGCCTTAACATTATGGACATAACCAAGAGCACAGTCAGCCTGGCATGGCCCAAACCCAGACATGATGGCGGCAGTAAGATCACTGGCTACGTGATTGAAGCCCAAAGGAAAGGCTCTGACCAGTGGACCCACATCTCAACGGTGAAAGGATTAGAATGTGTTGTGAGAAATCTCACTGAAGGGGAGGAATACACCTTCCAGGTGATGGCGGTGAACAGTGCTGGGAGAAGCGCCCCTCGAGAAAGCAGGCCTGTCATTGTGAAGGAGCAGACAATGCTTCCAGAGTTGGATCTCCGTGGCATCTATCAGAAATTAGTCATTGCCAGAGCTGGTGAAAATATCAAAGTGGAAATTCCAGTGCTCGGTCGACCAAAACCCACAGTTACATGGAAAAAAGGAGACCAGATTCTTAAACAGACACAGAGAGTTAATTTTGAAAATACAGCAACTTCAACCATCTTAAATATCAATGAGTGTGTCAGAAGTGACAGTGGGCCCTATCCACTCACAGCAAAGAACATTGTAGGAGAGGTTGGTGATGTCATCACCATTCAAGTCCACGATATCCCAGGGCCACCAACAGGACCAATCAAATTTGACGAAGTTTCTTCTGATTTTGTAACCTTCTCTTGGGACCCACCTGAGAATGATGGAGGAGTACCAATAAGCAACTATGTAGTGGAAATGCGACAGACAGATAGTACTACATGGGTGGAGTTAGCAACCACGGTAATACGGACTACCTATAAAGCCACTCGCCTTACTACTGGAGTGGAGTATCAATTCCGTGTAAAAGCTCAAAACAGATACGGAGTTGGACCGGGCATCACATCAGCATCTATAGTCGCCAACTATCCATTTAAAGTTCCAGGGCCTCCTGGTACCCCTCAGGTTACTGCAGTTACCAAGGATTCAATGACAATTAGCTGGCATGAGCCACTTTCTGATGGTGGAAGCCCCATTTTAGGATATCATGTTGAAAGAAAAGAACGGAATGGTATTCTCTGGCAGACTGTGAGCAAAGCATTAGTACCAGGCAACATTTTCAAATCAACTGGACTTACAGATGGTATTGCTTATGAGTTCCGAGTAATTGCAGAAAACATGGCAGGTAAAAGCAAGCCAAGCAAGCCATCTGAACCAATGCTTGCTCTGGATCCCATTGACCCACCTGGGAAACCAATACCTCTGAATATTACCAGACATGCAGTGACACTTAAATGGGCTAAGCCTGAATATACAGGAGGCTTTAAAATTACTAGCTATATAGTTGAGAAAAGAGACCTTCCTAATGGAAGGTGGCTGAAAGCCAACTTCAGCAACATTTTGGAAAATGAATTTACAGTGAGTGGCCTAACAGAAGATGCTGCATATGAATTCCGGGTGATTGCCAAAAATGTTGCTGGTGCTATTAGCCCACCATCTGAGCCATCCGATGCCATCACATGCAGAGATGACCTTGAAGCACCAAGGATAATGGTGGATGTTAAATTCAAGGACACTGTTATATTAAAAGCAGGCGAAGCATTCAAGCTGGAAGCTGATGTTTCAGGTCGCCCACCACCAACCATGGAATGGACCAAAGATGGAAAGGAGCTTGAAGGCACGGGGAAATTAGAAATAAAGATCGCAGATTTCTCCACTTATCTGGTGAACAAGGATTCTTCAAGGAGGGATAGTGGTGCCTATATCCTTACAGCAACAAATCCTGGTGGCTTTGCCAAACACATTTTCAACGTCAAGGTTCTTGATAGACCAGGCCCACCTGAAGGACCTTTAGCTGTATCTGATGTAACATCCGAAAAGTGTGTATTGTCATGGTTGCCTCCACGGGATGATGGAGGTGCCAAAATTGATCATTACATAGTGCAGAAACGTGAAACCAGCAGATTGGCATGGACAAATGTAGCCTCAGAAGTCCAAGTAACAAAACTAAAGGTTACTAAGCTTTTGAAAGGCAATGAATACATATTCCGTGTCATGGCTGTAAATAAATATGGAGTTGGAGAGCCACTTGAATCAGAACCTGTGCTTGCAGTGGATCCTTATGGACCTCCGGATCCACCCAAAAACCCCGAAGTTACAACTATTACTAAAGATTCTATGGTTGTCTGCTGGGGACATCCTGACTCTGATGGTGGAAGTGAAATCATAAATTATATTGTGGAACGGCGTGATAAAGCTGGCCAACGCTGGGTGAAATGCAACAAAAAGACCCTTACTGACTTAAGATACAAAGTGACTGGACTGACAGAAGGACATGAATATGAATTCAGGATTATGGCAGAGAACGCTGCTGGAATTAGTGCGCCAAGTTCTACCAGTCCGTTCTATAAAGCTTGTGACACTGTGTTTAAACCTGGCCCACCAGGTAACCCACGTGTTCTGGATACAAGCAGATCATCCATTTCAATTGCATGGAATAAACCCATTTATGATGGTGGATCAGAAATCACTGGGTATATGGTTGAGATTGCCCTGCCAGAAGAAGATGAATGGCAGATTGTCACACCACCAGCTGGGCTCAAGGCAACATCTTATACCATCACCAACCTCATAGAGAACCAGGAGTATAAAATCCGAATCTATGCCATGAATTCTGAAGGACTTGGGGAACCAGCCTCGGTTCCTGGAACTCCAAAGGCTGAAGACAGAATGCTGCCCCCAGAGATTGAACTGGATGCTGATCTGCGCAAAGTTGTCACTATAAGAGCCTGCTGCACTCTGAGGCTTTTTGTTCCAATCAAAGGAAGACCTGCACCTGAGGTGAAGTGGACCCGGGAACATGGAGAGTCTTTGGACAAAGCTAGCATTGAATCCACAAGCTCATACACCCTGCTTATTGTTGGAAATGTGAACAGATTTGACAGTGGCAAGTACATACTAACTGTAGAAAACAGCTCGGGCAGTAAGTCTGCATTTGTGAATGTTAGAGTGCTAGATACTCCAGGCCCTCCACAGGATCTGAAGGTAAAGGAGGTCACAAAGACATCCGTCACATTGACATGGGACCCTCCTCTCCTTGATGGAGGCTCAAAAATAAAGAACTACATTGTTGAAAAGAGAGAATCAACAAGAAAAGCATATTCAACTGTTGCAACCAATTGCCATAAGACTTCCTGGAAGGTAGACCAGCTTCAAGAAGGCTGCAGTTACTATTTCAGGGTTCTCGCCGAAAATGAATATGGCATTGGGCTGCCTGCTGAAACCGCAGACTCTGTGAAAGCATCAGAACGACCTCTTCCTCCAGGAAAAATCACTTTGGTGGATGTCACAAGAAACAGCGTGTCACTCTCCTGGGAGAAACCAGAGCATGATGGAGGCAGCCGGATCCTAGGCTACATTGTAGAGATGCAGAGCAAAGGCAGTGACAAATGGGCCACATGTGCCACAGTCAAAGTCACTGAAGCCACTATAACTGGACTGATTCAGGGTGAAGAATACAATTTCCGTGTTTCAGCTCAGAACGAGAAGGGCATCAGTGATCCGAGACAACTGAGTGTGCCAGTGATTGCCAAAGACCTTGTCATCCCACCAGCCTTCAAACTCCTGTTCAATACTTTCACTGTACTGGCAGGTGAAGACCTTAAAGTTGATGTTCCATTCATTGGACGCCCTACACCAACTGTAACCTGGCATAAAGATGATGTACCACTGAAGCAGACAACTAGAGTAAATGCAGAGAGCAAAGAAAATAATACACTACTGACAATAAAGGAAGCCTACAGAGAAGACGTTGGACATTACACAGTTAAACTGACTAACTCAGCTGGCGAAGCTACTGAGACCCTTAATGTTATTGTTCTTGACAAACCAGGGCCTCCAACTGGACCAGTTAAAATGGATGAAGTGACAGCTGACAGTATTACTCTTTCCTGGGAACCACCAAAGTATGATGGTGGAAGTTCCATCAATAATTACATTGTAGAGAAACGGGACACTTCCACAACCTCCTGGCAAATTGTGTCAGCCACGGTTGCAAGGACAACAATAAAAGCTTGCAGATTAAAGACTGGGTGTGAATATCAGTTTAGAATTGCTGCTGAAAACAGATACGGAAAGAGCACCTACCTCAATTCAGAGCCCATCATAGCTCAGTATCCATTCAAAGTTCCTGGTCCCCCTGGCACACCATTTGTCACACTCTCCTCCAAGGACAGTATGGAGGTACAATGGAATGAGCCAGTCAGTGACGGAGGAAGCAGAGTCATTGGCTACCATCTAGAACGCAAGGAAAGAAACAGCATCCTCTGGGTCAAATTGAATAAAACGCCTATTCCTCAAACCAAGTTTAAGACAACTGGCCTCGAAGAAGGCATTGAATATGAATTCAGAGTCTCTGCAGAGAACATTGTGGGCATCGGCAAGCCAAGTAAGCCATCAGAATGCTACGTAGCTCGTGACCCATGTGATCCACCAGGGCGGCCAGAGGCAATCATTGTCACAAGGAATTCTGTAACTCTTCAGTGGAAGAAACCCACCTATGATGGTGGAAGCAAGATCACAGGTTATATGGTGGAGAAGAAAGAATTGCCTGACGGCCGCTGGATGAAAGCCAGTTTTACAAACATCATTGACACCCAGTTTGAAGTAACTGGCCTAGTTGAAGATCACAGATATGAATTCCGAGTGATAGCTCGCAATGCAGCAGGTGTGTTTAGTGAGCCTTCAGAGAGCACAGGGGCAATCACAGCACGAGACGAGGTGGAGCCACCCAGGATAAGTATGGACCCCAAATACAAGGATACAATTGTGGTTCATGCTGGTGAGTCATTTAAGGTTGATGCAGATATACATGGCAAACCAATACCAACCACTCAATGGATAAAAGGTGATCAGGAGCTTTCAAACACAGCCCGACTAGAAATAAAGAGTACTGACTTTTCCACCAGTCTCAGCGTCAAGGATGCAGTACGTGTTGACAGTGGGAATTACATTTTGAAGGCCAAAAATGTTGCCGGAGAGAGATCTGTCACTGTGAATGTCAAAGTTCTTGACAGACCAGGACCCCCTGAAGGACCTGTTGTTATATCAGGGGTTACGGCAGAAAAATGCACACTAGCTTGGAAACCTCCACTTCAGGATGGTGGCAGTGATATCATAAATTATATCGTAGAAAGGAGAGAAACCAGCCGCCTGGTTTGGACTGTGGTTGATGCCAACGTGCAAACTCTCAGTTGCAAGGTTACTAAGCTTCTTGAAGGCAATGAATACATTTTCCGTATAATGGCAGTAAACAAATATGGTGTTGGTGAACCTCTTGAATCTGAGCCATTAATTGCCAAGAATCCATTTGTAGTACCAGATGCACCAAAAGCTCCAGAAGTCACAACAGTGACCAAAGACTCAATGATTGTTGTATGGGAAAGGCCAGCATCTGATGGTGGCAGTGAAATTCTCGGATACGTTCTTGAAAAACGAGACAAGGAGGGCATTAGGTGGACAAGATGCCACAAGCGTCTGATTGGGGAGTTGCGCTTGAGAGTAACTGGACTCATAGAAAATCACAACTATGAATTCAGAGTCTCAGCTGAGAATGCTGCTGGACTTAGTGAACCAAGTCCTCCTTCTGCTTACCAAAAAGCTTGTGATCCTATTTACAAACCAGGCCCTCCCAACAACCCCAAAGTCATGGATGTTACCAGATCTTCAGTTTTCCTTTCTTGGAGCAAGCCCATATATGATGGTGGCTGTGAAATCCAAGGATACATTGTTGAGAAATGTGACGTGAGTGTTGGTGAATGGACAATGTGCACCCCACCAACTGGAATTAATAAAACAAACTTAGAGGTAGAGAAGTTACAGGAAAAGCATGAATACAACTTCCGCATTTGTGCCATTAATAAAGCTGGAGTTGGTGAACATGCTGATGTCCCTGGACCTGTAATTGTTGAAGAAAAACTGGAAGCACCAGACATCGATCTTGACATGGAACTAAGGAAAATTATAAATATAAGGGCAGGTGGCTCTTTAAGGTTATTTGTTCCCATAAGAGGCCGTCCCACTCCAGAAGTGAAATGGGGAAAGGTGGATGGTGAAATCCGAGATGCGGCTATAATTGATGTCACTAGCAGTTTCACCTCGCTTGTTCTTGACAATGTCAATCGATACGATAGTGGAAAATATACTCTCACATTAGAAAACAGCAGTGGAACAAAGTCTGCCTTTGTTACTGTGAGAGTCCTGGATACACCAAGTCCACCTGTTAACCTGAAAGTCACAGAAATCACCAAAGACTCGGTATCAATTACATGGGAACCTCCTTTGTTGGATGGGGGATCCAAAATTAAAAATTACATCGTTGAGAAACGCGAAGCCACGAGAAAATCATATGCTGCCGTTGTCACGAATTGCCACAAGACATCTTGGAAAATTGATCAACTCCAAGAAGGTTGCAGTTATTACTTTAGAGTCACAGCTGAGAATGAGTATGGTATCGGCCTACCTGCCCACACTGCTGACCCAATTAAGGTTGCAGAAGTTCCACAACCTCCAGGAAAAATAACTGTGGATGATGTCACCAGAAATAGTGTCTCTCTGAGTTGGACAAAGCCTGAACATGATGGTGGCAGTAAAATCATTCAGTATATTGTGGAAATGCAAGCTAAACACAGTGAGAAGTGGTCAGAGTGTGCTCGAGTAAAGTCCCTTGAAGCAGTAATTACCAACCTAACTCAGGGAGAAGAATATCTTTTTAGAGTCATTGCTGTAAATGAAAAGGGGAGAAGTGATCCTAGGTCCCTTGCAGTTCCAATAGTTGCCAAAGATCTGGTCATCGAGCCAGATGTAAGACCTGCATTCAACAGTTACAGCATACAGGTTGGCCAAGATTTGAAAATAGAAGTACCAATTTCTGGACGTCCTAAGCCAACCATCACCTGGACTAAAGATGGTCTTCCCCTGAAGCAGACCACAAGAGTCAATGTTACCGATTCACTTGACCTCACCACACTCAGTATTAAAGAGACTCATAAGGATGACAGTGGACAATATGGAATCACAGTTGCCAATGTTGTTGGTCAGAAAACAGCATCCATCGAAATTATCACTCTAGATAAACCTGATCCTCCAAAAGGACCTGTTAAATTTGATGAAGTCAGTGCTGAGAGTATTACCTTATCCTGGAACCCTCCAGTATACACAGGAGGCTGCCAAATTACTAACTACATTGTTCATAAGAGAGATACAACCACCACAGTATGGGATGTTGTTTCTGCTACTGTTGCTAGAACTACTCTCAAAGTAACCAAACTGAAAACTGGTACAGAATACCAATTCAGAATATTTGCTGAAAACAGATATGGACAAAGCTTTGCCTTGGAGTCTGATCCAATTGTAGCTCAATATCCTTACAAAGAACCCGGTCCTCCAGGCACACCATTCGTCACAGCCATTTCCAAAGACTCTATGGTTGTACAGTGGCATGAACCAATCAATAATGGTGGAAGCCCAGTCATAGGTTACCACCTTGAGAAAAAAGAAAGGAATAGTATTTTGTGGACAAAAGTCAACAAAAGTATTATCCATGACACCCAATTTAAAGCACTGAATCTTGAAGAAGGCATTGAATATGAATTCAGAGTTTATGCTGAAAATATCGTTGGCGTAGGCAAGGCAAGCAAGAATTCTGAATGCTACGTAGCCCGAGATCCCTGTGACCCACCAGGAACACCAGAAGCAATAATTGTTAAGAGAAATGAAATCACTTTACAGTGGACCAAACCTGTATATGATGGCGGAAGTATGATTACGGGCTACATTGTAGAGAAGCGTGATTTACCTGAGGGCCGCTGGATGAAAGCCAGCTTCACCAATGTCATTGAAACTCAATTTACTGTGTCAGGTCTTACTGAAGATCAAAGATATGAATTCAGAGTCATTGCAAAGAATGCAGCCGGTGCCATAAGTAAACCCTCTGACAGTACTGGACCAATCACTGCCAAGGATGAGGTTGAACTCCCAAGAATTTCAATGGATCCAAAATTCAGAGATACAATAGTGGTGAATGCTGGAGAAACATTCAGGCTGGAGGCTGATGTCCATGGAAAGCCCCTACCTACTATTGAGTGGTTAAGAGGAGATAAGGAAATTGAAGAATCTGCTAGATGTGAAATAAAGAACACAGATTTTAAGGCTTTACTTATTATAAAGGACGCCATTAGAATTGATGGTGGACAGTATATTCTAAGAGCCTCCAATGTTGCAGGTTCTAAGTCATTCCCAGTAAACGTAAAAGTGTTAGACAGACCAGGACCTCCAGAAGGGCCAGTTCAGGTTACCGGAGTCACTTCAGAAAAATGCACTTTAACATGGTCTCCACCACTTCAAGATGGTGGCAGTGACATTTCTCACTATGTTGTTGAAAAGCGAGAAACCAGCCGACTAGCATGGACCGTTGTTGCTTCAGAAGTTGTGACTAATTCTCTGAAAGTTACCAAACTATTAGAAGGGAATGAATATATTTTCCGTATAATGGCTGTCAACAAATATGGTGTTGGAGAGCCTTTGGAATCTGCACCGGTACTAATGAAAAACCCATTTGTTCTTCCTGGTCCACCCAAAAACCTTGAAATTACAAACATTGCCAAGGACTCCATGACAGTCTGTTGGAACCGTCCAGATAGCGATGGTGGAAGTGAGATCATTGGTTACATTGTAGAGAAACGAGACAGAAGTGGCATTAGGTGGATAAAATGTAATAAACGCCGCATCACAGATCTGCGTCTGAGAGTAACAGGCTTAACAGAAGACCATGAGTATGAATTCAGAGTCTCTGCAGAAAATGCTGCTGGAGTTGGAGAACCTAGTCCAGCTACAGTGTATTATAAGGCCTGCGATCCTGTGTTCAAACCAGGCCCACCCACCAATGCACACGTTGTAGACACCACTAAAAACTCAATCACACTTGCTTGGGGCAAACCCATCTATGATGGTGGCAGTGAGATCCTGGGATATGTCATAGAAATTTGTAAAGCAGATGAAGAAGAATGGCAAATAGTCACTCCACAGACTGGCCTGAGAGTCACACGATTTGAAATTTCAAAACTCATTGAACATCAAGAATACAAAATACGAGTCTGTGCCCTCAACAAAGTTGGTCTAGGTGAGGCTGCATCAGTTCCTGGGACTGTGAAACCAGAAGATAAACTTGAAGCCCCTGAACTTGACATTGACTCTGAGCTAAGGAAAGGAATTGTGGTAAGAGCTGGTGGATCTGCCAGAATTCACATTCCATTCAAAGGTCGTCCAACACCTGAGATCACCTGGTCTCGAGAGGAAGGTGAATTCACAGATAAGGTCCAAATTGAAAAGGGAGTAAACTATACCCAACTATCAATCGATAATTGTGACAGAAATGATGCTGGCAAATACATTCTCAAGTTGGAAAATAGCAGCGGATCGAAGTCTGCTTTTGTAACTGTGAAAGTTCTCGACACCCCAGGACCACCACAGAATTTGACAGTCAAAGAAGTAAGAAAAGATTCTGTCCTACTGGTATGGGAACCACCCATCATTGATGGGGGAGCCAAGGTCAAGAACTATGTGATAGACAAACGTGAGTCAACCAGAAAAGTGTATGCTAATGTGAGTAGTAAATGCAGCAAAACAAGTTTCAAAGTTGAGAATCTTACAGAAGGAGCCATTTATTACTTTAGAGTCATGGCTGAGAATGAATTTGGAGTTGGCGTTCCAGTGGAAACTGTGGATGCTGTGAAAGCTTCTGAACCTCCTTCCCCACCAGGAAAGGTTACACTCACTGATGTGTCCCAGACCAGTGCATCACTTATGTGGGAGAAACCGGATCATGATGGTGGTAGCAGAATCCTGGGGTATGTTGTTGAAATGCAGCCCAAAGGAACCGAAAAATGGAGCACTGTGGCTGAATCCAAAGTCTGTAATGCAGTTGTTACTGGTTTGAGTTCCGGACAAGAATATCAGTTCCGTGTCAAGGCTTACAATGAGAAAGGAAAAAGTGATCCGAGAGTGCTTGGTGTTCCTGTCATAGCCAAGGACTTGACTATACAACCTAGTTTTAAGTTACCATTTAACACATATAGTGTCCAAGCTGGAGAAGATCTTAAAATAGAAATTCCAGTTATAGGCCGACCAAGACCTAAAATATCTTGGGTCAAAGATGGTGAGCCTCTGAAGCAGACAACAAGAGTAAACGTTGAAGAAACGGCTACTTCCACTATTTTGCACATTAAAGAAAGTAGCAAAGATGACTTTGGAAAATATACCATAACAGCAACAAATAGCGCAGGCACAGCAACAGAAAATCTCAGCATTATTGTTTTGGAAAAGCCTGGACCTCCAGTTGGACCAGTGAGGTTTGATGAAGTTAGTGCGGACTTCGTGGTCATATCTTGGGAACCTCCAGCCTACACTGGTGGCTGCCAAATAAGCAACTATATCGTAGAGAAGAGAGATACAACCACCACCACTTGGCACATGGTATCGGCAACCGTTGCAAGAACAACAATTAAAGTAACCAAACTGAAAACAGGCACTGAGTACCAGTTTAGAATTTTTGCTGAAAACAGGTATGGAAAAAGTGCCCCTCTGGATTCCAAACCAATTATTGTACAATATCCATTTAAAGAACCTGGACCACCAGGAACTCCTTTTGTGACATCAATCTCAAAAGATCAAATGACTGTGCAATGGCACGAGCCAGTTAATGATGGAGGCAGCAAAGTTATCGGCTACCATCTTGAACAGAAGGAAAAGAACAGCATTTTATGGGTCAAGTTAAATAAAACTCCCATTCAAGACACCAAATTCAAGACAACTGGGCTTGATGAAGGCCTTGAATATGAGTTCAAAGTTTCTGCTGAAAATATTGTTGGCATTGGCAAGCCTAGCAAAGTGTCCGAATGCTTTGTTGCTCGTGATCCATGTGATCCGCCTGGTCGTCCTGAGGCCATTGTTATCACAAGAAACAATGTCACCCTGAAATGGAAGAAACCTGCCTATGATGGCGGCAGCAAAATAACAGGTTATATCGTAGAAAAGAAAGATCTACCTGATGGCCGTTGGATGAAAGCCAGCTTTACCAATGTCCTAGAAACTGAATTTACAGTGAGTGGACTTGTAGAAGACCAAAGATACGAATTTAGAGTTATTGCAAGAAATGCAGCTGGCAATTTCAGTGAACCATCTGAAAGTAGTGGTGCCATTACTGCAAGAGATGAAATTGACGCACCAAATGCCTCTCTGGATCCCAAATATAAAGACGTCATTGTTGTTCATGCAGGAGAGACTTTTGTTCTTGAAGCTGATATCCGTGGCAAACCAATACCTGATATTGTTTGGTTGAAAGATGGAAAAGAACTTGAAGAAACAGCTGCTAGGATGGAAATTAAATCTACTATTCAGAAAACCACTCTTGTTGTCAAAGATTGTATACGGGCTGATGGAGGTCAATATGTTCTGAAACTTAGCAATGTTGGTGGTACTAAGTCTATACCAATCACGGTAAAGGTACTTGACAGGCCAGGACCTCCGGAAGGGCCTCTGAAAGTTTCTGGAGTTACTGCAGAAAAATGTTACCTGGCATGGAACCCACCTTTACAAGATGGTGGTGCTAGTATTTCACATTACATCATTGAAAAGAGAGAGACAAGCAGACTCTCCTGGACCCAGGTTTCAACAGAGGTACAGGCTCTCAACTACAAAGTCACTAAACTTCTTCCTGGTAATGAGTACATTTTCCGTGTCATGGCCGTGAATAAATATGGAATTGGAGAGCCCCTGGAATCTGAACCTGTTATAGCCTGTAATCCTTACAAGCGGCCTGGTCCTCCTTCAACACCTGAAGCCTCAGCAATCACCAAAGATTCTATGGTAGTAACCTGGGCCCGCCCAGTGGACGATGGGGGTGCTGAAATCGAGGGCTACATTCTTGAAAAACGAGATAAGGAAGGCATTAGATGGACCAAGTGCAACAAGAAAACACTGACTGATCTCCGGTTCAGGGTAACTGGCCTTACCGAAGGCCACTCCTATGAATTCAGAGTGGCTGCTGAAAATGCAGCTGGTGTGGGTGAGCCTAGTGAGCCATCTGTGTTCTACCTTGCATGTGACACCTTGTATCCACCAGGTCCACCAAGCAATCCAAAAGTGACAGACACTTCCAGATCTTCTGTGTCCCTAGCATGGAATAAGCCAATTTATGATGGCGGGGCACCTGTGAAAGGCTATGTTGTTGAGGTCAAAGAAGCCACTGCTGATGAATGGACAACGTGCACACCTCCAACAGGATTACAAGGGAAGCAGTTCACAGTGACCAAGCTTAAAGAAAATACTGAATATAACTTCCGGATCTGCGCCTTCAATTCTGAAGGGGTTGGTGAACCTGCAACTATCCCTGGTTCAGTGGTTGCTAAGGAAAGGGCAGAGCCACCAGAAATAGAACTTGATGCTGACCTGAGAAAGGTGGTCATTCTACGTGCAAGTGCTACTTTACACTTATTCGTCACTATCAAAGGTCGACCAGAACCTGAAGTCAAGTGGGAAAAGGCAGAAGGCATTCTCACTGAGAGGGCCCAGATCGAGGTGACCAGCTCCTACACAATGTTGGTGATTGATAATGTGACCAGATTTGACAGTGGTCGGTATAATCTGACATTAGAAAACAATAGTGGCTCCAAAACGGCTTTTGTGAATGTCAGAGTTCTTGACTCACCAAGTGCCCCTGTGAATTTGACTGTAAGAGAGGTAAAGAAAGAATCGGTGACTTTATCCTGGGAACCACCACTTATTGATGGAGGAGCTAAGATCACAAACTACATCGTTGAAAAGCGAGAAACTACAAGAAAAGCCTATGCTACTATCACCAACAATTGCACTAAGAATACCTTTAAAATTGAAAATCTACAAGAAGGATGTTCTTACTACTTCCGCGTCTTGGCTTGCAATGAATACGGGATTGGTTTGCCAGCTGAAACAACTGAGCCCGTGAAAGTGTCTGAACCACCCCTCCCACCTGGAAGAGTGACTCTTGTCGATGTGACCCGGAACACAGCTACAATTAAGTGGGAGAAACCAGAAAGCGATGGTGGCAGCAAAATTACTGGTTATGTAGTCGAGATGCAGACTAAAGGCAGTGAAAAGTGGAGCACTTGCACACAAGTTAAGACCCTAGAAGCAACTATATCTGGCCTGACGGCTGGAGAAGAATATGTCTTCAGAGTATCTGCAGTAAATGAAAAAGGACGAAGTGATCCAAGGCAACTTGGAGTGCCTGTAATTGCAAGGGATATCGAAATAAAACCTTCAGTAGAGCTTCCCTTCCATACTTTCAACGTAAAGGCTAAAGACCAACTCAAGATTGATGTGCCATTCAAAGGAAGACCTCAAGCTACTATAAGCTGGAAAAAAGACGGTCAAACTCTCAGAGAGACAACTAGAGTCAACGTTTCTTCTTTAAAGACTGTAACAACACTAACTATTAAGGAGGCTTCAAGGGAAGATGTTGGAACTTATGAACTCTGTGTTTCAAACAGTGCTGGATCCATAACAGTTCCTATCACTGTAATTGTTCTTGACAGACCAGGGCCTCCAGGACCTATCCGTATTGATGAGGTTAGTTGTGACAATGTCACCATTTCTTGGAATCCTCCAGAATATGACGGTGGCTGCCAGATTAGCAACTACATTGTTGAGAAGAGAGAAACCACTTCTACAACATGGCATGTGGTTTCACAGGCAGTTGCAAGAACATCCATTAAAATAGTTCGTTTAACAACAGGAAGTGAGTATCAGTTCCGTGTTTGTGCAGAAAACCGATTCGGGAAGAGTTCCTATAGCGAATCTTCAGCTGTTGTTGCAGAGTATCCATTTAGTCCCCCAGGTCCTCCTGGTACTCCTAAAGTTGTGCATGCCACAAAATCTACCATGATTGTTAGCTGGCAAGTGCCAGTTAATGATGGGGGAAGTCAAGTAATTGGCTATCACCTTGAGTATAAAGAAAGAAGCAGCATTCTTTGGTCCAAAGCCAATAAAACCCTCATTGCCGACACTCAAATGAAAGTCTCCGGTCTTGATGAAGGACTGATGTACGAGTATCGTGTATATGCTGAGAATATTGCTGGAATTGGTAAATGCAGTAAATCTTGTGAACCAGTCCCTGCCAGAGATCCTTGTGACCCTCCTGGACAACCTGAAGTCACAAATATCACAAGAAAATCAGTGTCACTTAAATGGGCTAAACCACACTATGATGGTGGAGCTAAGATCACCGGATATATTGTTGAACGTAGAGAACTCCCAGATGGCCGGTGGCTGAAGTGCAACTTTACCAACGTACAAGAAACATACTTTGAAGTAACTGAACTTACTGAAGATCAGCGTTACGAGTTCCGGGTTTTTGCAAGGAATGCTGCTGACTCCATTAGTGAACCCTCTGAATCCACTGGACCTATTACAGTTAAAGATGATGTGGAGGCTCCAAGAATTATGATGGACGTCAAGTTCCGAGATGTCATTGTTGTCAAAGCTGGAGAAGTCCTTAAGATAAATGCAGACATTGCAGGGAGACCTCTGCCAGTTGTCTCTTGGGCCAAGGATGGCATAGAAATTGAAGAAAGAGCAAGAACAGAAATTGTCTCAACAGACTTTACTACCTCATTAACAGTTAAAGAATGTGTAAGACGAGACACTGGTCAGTATGTACTAACACTGAAGAATGTTGCAGGAACTCGGTCTATGACAATTAATTGCAAAGTACTTGATAAGCCTGGTCCACCAGCAGGGCCACTTGAAATAAATGGCCTTACCTCTGAAAAGTGCTCTCTTTCCTGGGGACGTCCGCAAGAAGATGGTGGTGCAGACATCGACTATTACATTGTAGAAAAGCGTGAAACAAGCCGCCTTGCATGGACAATATGTGAAGGAGAGTTAAGAACAACATCTTGTAAAGTGACCAAATTACTGAAAGGCAATGAATATATATTTAGAGTGACAGGTGTTAATAAATACGGGGTTGGTGAGTCCCTAGAGAGTATAGTTGTAAAGGCACTAGACCCATTTACAGTTCCAAGTCCACCCACATCTTTGGAAATTACCTCTGTGACAAAAGATTCCATGACACTTTGCTGGTCAAGACCCGAGAGTGATGGAGGTAGTGAAATTTCTGGATACATAATCGAAAGGCCAGAGAAAAACAGCCTACGATGGGTGCGGGTAAACAAAAAACCAGTTTATGATCTGAGAGTGAAATCAACAGGACTTCGGGAAGGGTGTGAATATGAATATAGGGTTTATGCAGAAAATGCTGCTGGCCTAAGTCTTCCAAGTGATCCTTCTCCCTTAGTTCGGGCAGAAGATCCAGCATTCTTACCGTCTCCTCCATCCAAACCCAAAATTGTGGACTCAGGCAAGACATCTATAACTATTGGCTGGGTTAAGCCCTTGTTTGACGGTGGGGCCCCAATAACCGGATACACTGTAGAATACAAGAAATCTGATGAAACGGACTGGAAAACTGCCATTCAGAGCTTAAGAGGCACTGAATACACACTAAGTGGACTAACAACCGGAGCTGAATATGTTTTCAGAGTAAGATCTATCAATAAGATTGGTGCCAGTGATCCCAGCGAAAGTTCTGACCCCCAGATAGTAAAGGAAAGAGAAGAAGAACCTGTATTTGATCTGGACACTGAAATGAGGAAGACCTTGATTGTCAAGGCTGGTTCCTCATTTACCATGACTGTGCCTTTCAGAGGAAGACCAGTACCCAACGTCTCCTGGAGTAAGCCAGACACTGACCTCCGCACTAGAGCATATATTGATTCCACAGACACTCGTACATCGCTTACCATTGAAAAGGCCAACAGAAATGATTCTGGAAAATACACATTAACGATTCAGAATGTGTTAAGTGCTGCTTCACTGACCTTTGTTGTCAAAGTCTTAGATTCTCCAGGTCCTCCAGCCAACGTTAATGTACATGATGTAACCAAAGAGACTGCAGTGTTATCCTGGGATGTTCCTGAAAACGATGGTGGAGCACCAGTGAAAAACTACCACATAGAAAAACGTGAGGCCAGCAAGAAAGCATGGGTCTCTGTCACCAACAACTGTAACCGCCTCTCCTACAAGGTCACCAACTTACAAGAAGGAGCTGTTTACTACTTCAGAGTCGCTGGAGAAAATGAGTTTGGTGTGGGTGCACCGGCTGAAACAAAGGAAGGAGTCAAAATAACAGGTATGTCTTAAGAAGGAAAATCTATATACCTTCATTCATTTTGCTAGAATAGTGTGGCCCATTCTACTTAGTCATTGCTTAAATGGTTTTGGTTCATACCATAAATTATTCATTCTAAAGCACAAAATAAAAATCTCTAATAGAGAAAATTTTTGTTTACTTAAATGTTAACAAATTACATATCTAGAAATTCAAAGTGTTGAATTTAAGTAAAATTAAATTTAACTGCATACACACCCACACACAAACATAGACTGTGTGTATGTATTCAGAAACTGGATGATGACATTCCTGACTTTCTTAGGAAATTAGTTTTTTTGTTTGTTTTTTTGGTACCAAAACACTCCACCATTTGAGCCACATCCCCAACCCTATTTTGTATTTTATTTAGAGACAGGGTGTCATTGAGTTCCTTAATGCCTCACTTTTGTTCAGGCTGGCTTCCAACTCATGATCTTTCTGCCTGGGCCTCTGGAGCCGCTGCAATTACAGGCATGTGTCACTGTACATGGCAAGATTGGTCACTTTGTTTCTCCTTTTCTATCCATGATGAATTTGGGGTACATTTTATCATCTAATCTAGGTCAATTTAAAAGCAAATACTTTGACATATAATAACATGATTTGGGGGAGCTTTGGTTGACTCAATAGCCAAACTCGTCATATAAAAAGTAAGAAAGATTCAAAAGTAAGCATATGGCCTTGATTTAAAAGTTCTATTTTGACAATGCATGAAGAGCACATGGGAAAGAATGTTGTTAATAATTCTTCCCTTTCTTTCAATACTTTGTTTTCTTAGAAAAACCAAGCCCACCTGAAAAACTTGGAGTAACAAGTGTATCCAAAGATAGTGTTTCCCTCACCTGGCTGAAGCCCGAACACGATGGTGGAAGCAGAGTTGTACACTATATAGTTGAAGCGTTAGAAAAAGGACAGAAAAACTGGGTTAAATGTGCAGTGGTAAAGACAACCCACCACGTTGTTTCTGGTCTGAGGGAGAATCATGAATACTTTTTCCGAGTCTTTGCTGAAAATCAAGCTGGCCTGAGTGACCCACGAGAACTCCTGCTTCCTGTTCTTGTAAAGGAGCAACTTGGTATGTCTAATTCTATGTAGAAGCAAATTTTGAAATCACTTACATTGTTTTGATTTTTAAAAACTCTTTTTTCACCTCCATTTTTCCATGTTCTTATTTTTCAGAACCCCCTGAAATTGATATGAAGAATTTTCCAAGTCACACTGTATATGTTAGAGCTGGTTCAAACCTGAAAGTGGACATTCCAATTTCTGGAAAACCACTACCCAAGGTGACCTTATCAAGAGATGGTGTCCCCCTGAAGGCAACTATGAGATTTAATACTGAAATTACAGCTGAGAATCTGACCATCAATCTTAAGGACAGTGTTACAGCAGATGCTGGAAAATATGAGATCACGGCTGCCAACTCCAGTGGAACAACCAAGGCGTTCCTTAACATCATTGTGCTGGACAGGCCTGGTCCTCCAACTGGTCCTGTTGTTATTAGTGACATAACTGAAGAAAGTGTGACTCTCAAATGGGAGCCACCCAAGTATGATGGTGGAAGTCAAGTTACCAATTACATTGTACTCAAGAGAGAAACAAGTACTGCAGCATGGACAGAAGTGTCTACAACAGTTGCAAGAACCATGATCAAAGTCATGAAACTGACCACAGGAGAGGAATACCAATTCCGCATCAAGGCAGAAAACCGCTTTGGCATCAGCGATCACGTAGATTCTGCTTGTGTGGTCGTCAAACTGCCATACAGTGAGTTTTCAAACTTTTCAAAGATCCTAAGTTTCCATTTACCATAAATATGCGAAATAGCTGTATTAACCTATGGGTTTTCTCTCTCTTGTAGCAACACCTGGACCACCATCGACACCATGGGTCACTAATGTTACTCGAGAAAGCATCACCGTGGGCTGGCATGAACCCGTGTCTAATGGAGGCAGCACAGTCATAGGCTATCACTTGGAAATGAAAGACAGAAACAGTATCTTATGGCAAAAAGCCAACAAAATGATCATCCGTACAACTCACTTCAAAGTCACAACAATCAGTGCTGGACTTATTTATGAATTCAGGGTGTATGCAGAAAATGCTGCAGGTGTTGGAAAACCCAGCCATCCCTCTGAACCTGTCCTGGCCATTGATGCCTGTGGTATGTATTTGTCATGACAGTTCTGACACCTTGAAAATGCAAATCTTGTTTCTGTAAAGCAAAATAAATTGGCATAAGTGCCACTAATCTTCTTTCTCTCGTTGCCACAGAACCTCCAAGAAATGTCCGTATCACTGATATTTCAAAGAACTCTGTCAACCTGTCATGGCAACAACCAGCTTTTGATGGAGGAAGCAAGATTACAGGCTACATAGTTGAGAGACGTGACCTTCCAGATGGCAGATGGACCAAAGCCAGTTTCACCAATGTTATTGAGACTCAATTCACCGTCTCTGGCTTGACTCAGAATTCCCAGTATGAATTCCGTGTCTTTGCTAGGAATGCCGTTGGTTCCATCAGCAATCCATCTGAAGTTGTAGGGCCCATTACATGCATTGATTCCTATGGTAAGCATTATTGGAACTTTGAACCCCAACAGCTATCTAACCTAATACCATTTTCTTATTTTAATAATTTTTTGCTGCATGTTGTAATTAAGTTTTTGAAAGAAATTATGAACTAGCTGGGATACTTAGGAAATGTCCTTACCTATAAATTGAGAGAGTTGGACTATATAAAGTATCTAAGGACCTTTCCAACTTTCATGATTGATTGTATAAGTTGGTGCTTTCATTCCCTTTAAAATTATCAGAGCCAATAGTTAACTCCATGTGTACATCCTCACAAAATATTGCTCTTAAATAAGTGGAAGACTGTAAACAGGGACTTTCATGATGACAGTGTTAGCAGTAGCTAGCATTTATTGACTAATTACACAAATTCTCTTAGTTTAACAACCTTAAAATTAGCCATTTTACAAAAAAGAAACTGAGATTTAAAGTGTTTATGCAAATTCCCCAAGGTCAAGCAGCTTATTAGTGATGAAGTGGGATTCTTCAGAGCCCTAACATCACTGTTCATCAAATATTCATATACTTGACCATTATGGAAAGTAACTGGTACATTCAACTAACAATGGTTTGAAAATTGAAATATCATGAGAGTTAAGAACCCTGTGACACTTTTCCTAAAATTTCTCCATTTTCAAAAGGGAAAATGAGCCACTATATTGCCTGGACAAAGTATCCACTCCCACCCTCCTGTTGAGAATCCCAGGGCTACTTTGTATAAGCCAGGCTTTGCAGACACTAAATCAATACTGCTGTTATTGTGAAGCAAGTCAAATTTACTTCTGTTTCTCAATGGTTCTAAGCGCCCTGGTATAAAATATTCCCAGTAATATATAATATTATGAGTAGAGCATTCAAAGGTCTGACATGAACCACTCACATGTGGATAGATACCAGTGAAGTGAGACAGGAAAAGAAGAATAGGAAATGGTCAGAAGACATGGAAAGAAAACTAGAGGGAAAGAAAACTAGAGTGAAAGAAAATGCTGAAGGCTGCTTCTTCAGTAATGTTCTCCCTATGCTATCCCATCTCATCACTGGGATGAAATACCTAACAGACTTTAAAACACATTTAGAAGGCAGTGAAGTGCCTGTGCAATTAATACAATGTTATTGAGGTCAGAGCTTTTTCATAGTCTTTCTTCCCCATCTAGGAGAATAGCTTATAAAATTTTAAAGTTTAAAATAATAGGTGACTAGGATTAGAAGTGTGTGTGTGTGTGTGTGTGTGTGTGTGTGTGTGTGTGTAGTTTAGTAAGGGCCAGTGACCCTATTTTGAGGTTGTTATGGCTATTTCTTTCATCCTGAGGATATATTAAATATTTCTTATTTGTCATTCTTACAGGTGGACCTGTAATTGACCTACCTTTAGAATATACAGAAGTTGTCAAATACAGAGCAGGTACATCTGTGAAGCTCAGAGCAGGCATTTCTGGCAAACCTGAGCCTACAATTGAGTGGTATAAAGATGACAAAGAATTGCAAACCAATGCACTGGTGTGTGTTGAAAATACCACTGACCTCGCATCTATACTCATCAAAGATGCCAACCGCCTTAATAGTGGAAGCTACGAATTAAAACTAAGAAATGCTATGGGCTCAGCCTCGGCCACTATCAGAGTACAGATCCTTGGTAGGTACTCAATACAGGCCAATGTCATATTTTGTTTGCCTAAAATGTAGTAATTTAAAATTAGTAGACTTTTAGAAGCACTAACATATCATCTTATTCTTTCATTGGCAGACAAACCAGGACCTCCAGGTGGACCAATTGAATTTAAAACTGTCACTGCTGAAAAGATAACACTTCTCTGGCAGCCCCCAACTGACGATGGTGGTGCAAAAATCACTCACTACATTGTAGAAAAGCGTGAGACAAGCCGTGTCGTGTGGTCTATGGTGGCTGAAAATTTGGAAGAGTGCATCATCACAACCACCAAAATTATCAAAGGAAATGAATACATCTTCCGGGTTCGAGCTGTAAACAAATATGGAATTGGCGAGCCACTGGAATCTGATCCGGTGGTAGCCAAGAATGCATTTGGTAAGATGGGATTTTATTAGAAAACTAAAAATCATGAGAAGTTTTAAGATAAACTATTCTGCTAGACTATGAATGCTTTCTTAAAATGATTTCCTTTTGTATCACGTCATATCTTAATGTCATCCTTTTCACATGGTAGAAAATATAATAAACTAATATTCTTAGATAGGATTCAAAGATCAGAAGATAGAATTTGCAAACTCATTTGCCTTTTTCTTTCTAAATAGTTACACCTGGGCCACCAAGCATACCAGAGGTGACAAAGACTACCAAGAATTCAATGACTGTTGTCTGGAACAGGCCAATTGTAGATGGTGGTAGTGAAATAAGTGGCTACTTCCTTGAAAAACGAGACAAGAAGAGTCTAGCTTGGTTTAAAGTGCAAAAGGAGACGATCCGTGACACCAGACAGAAAGTGACAGGACTCACAGAAAACAATGACTATCAATACCGAGTTTGTGCTGTAAATGCTGCTGGACTGGGTCCATTTTCTGAACCATCTGACTTCTACAAAGCTGCTGATCCTATTGGTAAGTGTTCTTAAATGCAGCAGTAGCATCTTTTGTGTGAATAAATTGTATATGATTCTGTAATTACCATTTTATGAATGGTCATTCCAGATCCTCCAGGCCCACCTGCCAAGATAAGAATCGCAGATTCAACAAAGTCATCCATCACTCTTGGCTGGAGTAAACCTGTCTATGATGGGGGCAGTGCTATTACTGGATATGTTGTAGAGATGAGACAAGGAGAAGAAGAGGAATGGACCATTGTTTCTACCAGAGGAGAGGTCAGAACCACAGAATACGTAGTGTCTAACCTGCAACCTGGAGTCAATTACTATTTCCAGGTATCTGCAGTAAACTGCGCTGGACAAGGAGAACCTATACAAATGACCGAGCCTGTACAAGCTAAAGATATACTTGGTATGTACAACTGGTGTGATTGTGTCTTTATCGTTTTATTAGAGTATTTCCAGGAAAAGACTCACTTTCTTGCTTTTAAAATTCACTGTTCCTGTCCATTTTGTGTCTACAGAGGAACCAGAGATCGACCTAGATGTGGCTCTCAGAACCTCTGTTATAGCTAAAGCTGGTGAGGATGTCCAAGTGTTGATTCCCTTTAAAGGCAGACCTCCACCTACTGTCACCTGGAGAAAAGATGAGAAGAATCTTGGCAGTGATGCCAGATACAACATTCAAAATACTGATTCGTCTTCGTTGCTCACTATTCCTCAAGTTACTCGCAATGATACAGGAAAATATGTTCTGACAATAGAAAATGGGGTGGGTCAACCTAAGTCTTCAACTGTGAGTGTTAAAGTGCTCGATACACCAGCCGCCTGCCAGAAACTACAGGTTAAACATGTTTCTCTTGGCACAGTCACTTTGCTCTGGGATCCTCCGCTCATTGATGGAGGATCTCCCATAATTAATTACGTTATTGAAAAGAGAGACGCCACCAAGAGAACATGGTCTGTTGTGTCACACAAATGTTCCAGTACAACCTTTAAGGTAACAGATTTGTCAGAGAAAACGCCATTCTTCTTCAGAGTTCTTGCAGAAAATGAAATTGGAATCGGGGAACCCTGTGAAACCACAGAGCCAGTGAAGGCTGCTGAAGTACCCGCACCTATTCGAGATCTCTCAATGAAAGACTCAACAAAGACATCTGTTATCCTGAACTGGACCAAACCTGACTTTGATGGTGGGAGTGTCATCACAGACTATGTTGTGGAAAGGAAAGGGAAAGGCGAACAGGCATGGTCCCACGCCGGCATAAGCAAGACATGCGAAATCGAGATAGGCCAACTTAGAGAACAGTCAGTCCTGGAATTCAGGGTGTTTGCTAAAAATGAGAAAGGGCTGAGTGATGCCGTCACTATTGGGCCAATTACAGTGAAAGAACTTGTAATCACACCTGAGGTCGACCTGTCAGAAATCCCTGGGGCACAAATCTCAGTAAGAATTGGGCATAATGTACACCTTGAACTACCTTATAAAGGAAAACCCAAACCATCTATCAGTTGGCTAAAAGATGGTTTGCCACTGAAAGAAAGTGAATATGTTCGCTTCAGTAAAACTGAAAACAAAATAACCTTGAATATTAAGAATGTCAAGAAGGAACATGGAGGAAAATACACTGTTATTCTTGATAATGCAGTGTGTAGAAATTCTTTCCCCATTACAGTCATCACCCTCGGCCCACCATCCAAGCCCAAAGGACCCATTCGATTTGATGAAATTAAAGCTGACAGTGCCATCATGTCATGGGATGTACCTGACGATGATGGAGGAGGAGAAATCACTTGTTACAGCATCGAGAAGCGGGAAGCCTCACAAACTAACTGGAAGATGGTATGTTCAAGTGTTGCCAGGACCACTTTCAAAGTTCCTAATCTGGTCAAAGATGCTGAATACCAGTTTAGAGTTAGGGCAGAAAACAGATACGGAGTCAGCGAACCACTTGTCTCAAACATTATTGTGGCAAAACACCAGTTCAGGATTCCTGGACCCCCAGGAAAGCCAGTTATATACAATGTGACTTCTGATGGCATGTCACTAACTTGGGATGCACCAGTTTATGATGGCGGTTCCGAAGTTACTGGATTCCATGTGGAAAAGAAAGAAAGAAATAGCATCCTCTGGCAAAGAGTGAACACATCACCAATATCTGGAAGAGAATACAGAGCTACTGGACTAATGGAAGGCCTGGATTACCAATTCCGTGTGTACGCTGAAAATTCTGCTGGCCTAAGCTCACCAAGTGACCCAAGCAAATTTACCTTAGCTGTTTCCCCAGTGGGTAAGTAACTATTATTCAAATATATTTAATTAAAAACACTGCTTTCCTTCCATGTGTCACCTTCTTCCTATCTTCTTGTGACTAGACAACTGGTGAGGTAAAGCAAGAGGAATAATCTTCAGTCAAGTCTAATAAAGTAATTTAAAGTTCTTTTTAGACCAAGAAGCAGAAAGTTAAAATTAATGAATAAAATGTGTTGGGGAAATTATTCATGTAATTTTTCTTCTCTTGAGTAAGAACTGGTTACAGATATAATGAGGCACTTAACTTCCTTATGATTTTTCAGACCCACCTGGCACTCCTGACTACATTGATGTCACCCGGGAAACCATCACTCTTAAATGGAACCCACCACTGCGTGACGGAGGCAGTAAGATTGTGGCCTATAGCATTGAGAAACGGCAAGGGGAAGATCGCTGGGTTAGATGCAACTTCACCGATGTCAGTGAATGTCAGTACACAGTTACAGGGCTTAGTCCTGGAGATCGGTACGAGTTCAGAATAATTGCAAGAAATGCTGTTGGAACCATTAGCCCACCCTCACAATCTTCCGGCATTATTATGACAAGAGATGAAAATGGTAAGCATTTACAACACTTTCAGTGTCACTAAGAGCGTTTTACACTTTCAAAAAAAAAAAAAAATAGTTTTGGCCACTGGTCTATAAAAGGAGAACAGAAACATCATTTCATACAGATTACCCAAGAATGTTATATAGATGAATTAGATCTTTCCTCCCTTTTAAATGAAGAGAAGAAAAACCATAACTGAAATCAGTGCTTTTTACAATGTCTATTATTTCATTCCATTCCCATATAAAGATCATGCAAGTGATCTAGCTTTGTAATTTTAGCCACTTATAATAATTGAAAAAGAGCCCCAAGAAGAGGTGTCCATCTGTATTGGAGTTACTAAAATACAACATATAACCAACCACACAGTCATCACCTTGCTTTAGGTACAGCTAAAGGCCTCTTGCATGAACCTGTTTGAACATGCAGCCCTATCTGGAAGTAAATGACCTGTAAAGGTTTCATTTATAATGATGGGAAGATATTTGACCCCATAATCTAAATGCCATTATCAGTCCTACTTTCAAAATAGTCTGGTAGCACAGAATTCATTGCCTTGCCAGGCTTTATGATGAAAAATATGTTGATAAAAAATATGTTGATGTATGTCTTTATAAAGCAACACTAACATGCAGTATCTCTATTTCTTTTATAGTTCCACCAACAGTAGAGTTTGGCCCTGAGTACTTCGATGGTCTCATTATTAAGTCTGGAGAGAGCCTTAGAATTAAAGCTTTGGTTCAAGGACGACCAGTACCTCGAGTAACTTGGTTCAAAGATGGAGTCGAAATAGAAAAGAGGATGAATATGGAAATAACTGACGTCCTTGGATCCACCAGCCTCTTTGTTAGAGACGCTAATCGGGACCATCGTGGTGTATATACAGTGGAAGCCAAAAATGTATCTGGCTCCACAAAAGCAGAAATTACAGTGAAAGTGCAAGGTAGTTTTAAAATAATTTATTAATGTTACAATTTATGGGACTAAGATTAAGGACATACCTAATTGTATTTTAATGAAGAGGAAAAAGAAACTAACTCTTAACACTTTTTCTTACAGATACACCAGGAAAAGTAGTTGGGCCCATAAGATTCACCAATATTACTGGTGAGAAGATGACCCTGTGGTGGGATGCACCACTAAATGACGGCTGTGCTCCTGTCACCCACTACATCATTGAAAAAAGGGAAACAAGCAGACTTGCTTGGGCATTGATTGAAGATAAATGTGAAGCCCACAGTTACACTGCCATTAAATTAATAAATGGCAATGAATACCAATTCCGTGTTTCTGCAGTTAACAAGTTTGGTGTTGGCAGGCCACTTGACTCTGACCCGGTGGTTGCTCAAATACAATACAGTAAGTTTCCAGTTTTACTAAATGGTACTCTGTCATAATACCAACTTCCCAAACAAACGTGTCTAACTATCTTGAGTTCCCCCCCCCCTTTTGCAGCTGTTCCCGATGCCCCCGGCACTCCAGAACCTAGCAACGTAACAGGCAACAGCATTACATTGACATGGGCAAGACCAGAATCAGATGGTGGCAATGAGATTCAACACTACATCCTTGAAAGGAGAGAAAAGAAAAGCACAAGATGGGTGAAAGTGATCAGCAAACGACCCATCTCCGAGACGAGACACAAAGTCACTGGTCTGACAGAAGGCAACGAATATGAATTCCATGTCATGGCTGAAAATGCTGCAGGAATAGGACCTGCAAGTGGTATCTCAAGACTCATTAAATGTAGAGAGCCTGTGAGCCCACCAAGTGCTCCCACCGTGGTCAAAGTGACAGACACATCAAAGACAACTGTGAGCTTAGAATGGTCCAGACCAGTCTTTGATGGTGGCCTGGAAATAATTGGGTACATCATAGAAATGTGCAAAGCTGACTTAGGAGACTGGCACAAGGTGAACACCGAGGCCTGTGTGAAAACAAGATACACAGTCACTGATCTACAAGCAGGTGAAGAATACAAGTTCCGGGTTAGTGCTATCAATGGTGCTGGAAAAGGAGACAGCTGTGAAGTGACTGGCACAATTAAAGCCGTTGACCGATTAACAGCTCCGGAGTTAGACATTGATGCAAACTTCAAGCAGACTCACATTGTTAGAGCTGGGGCCAGTATTCGCCTCTTCATTGCCTTCCAGGGTAGACCTACTCCTACAGCTGTGTGGAGCAAGCCAGACTCTAACCTTAGCATTCGGGCTGATATCCACACGACAGACTCCTTCAGCACCCTCACTATAGAAAATTGCAACAGAAATGATGCAGGGAAATATACCCTTACTGTGGAAAACAACAGTGGTAGTAAGTCCATCACATTCACTGTCAAGGTGCTAGACTCTCCAGGACCACCTGGTCCAATTACCTTCAAGGACGTGACCCGGGGATCTGTCACACTCATGTGGGATGCTCCTCTCCTTGACGGCGGTGCCAGAATCCATCACTATGTGGTAGAGAAACGAGAAGCAAGTCGCCGCAGCTGGCAGGTTATCAGTGAAAAATGTACTCGCCAGATCCTCAAGGTCAGTGACCTGGCAGAAGGCGTTCCATACTATTTCCGTGTTTCTGCAGAAAATGAGTATGGTATTGGTGAACCCTATGAAATGCCAGAACCCATTGTGGCCACAGAAGAGCCTGCTCCACCTAGGAGACTTGATGTTGTCGACACCAGCAAATCCTCTGCAGTCTTAGCTTGGCTTAAACCTGATCATGATGGAGGCAGTCGGATCACTGGCTACCTTCTTGAAATGAGACAAAAAGGTTCTGACTTCTGGGTTGCAGCTGGTCACACCAAACAGCTGACTTTCACAGTTGAGCACCTGTTGGAGAACACTGAATATGAATTCCGGGTGAAGGCCAAGAATGATGCTGGCTATAGTGAACCCAGGGAAGCCTTCTCATCTGTCATCATCAAGGAGCCTCAAATTGAGCCTACTGCAGATCTCACTGGAATTACCAATCAGCTCATAACTTGCAAAGCAGGAAGCACATTTACCATCGATGTGCCAATCAGTGGTCGTCCTGCACCCAAAGTAACATGGAAACTGGAAGAAATGAGACTTAAGGAGACTGATCAAATGAGTATCACAACAACAAAAGACAGGACCACCCTGTCTGTAAAGGACAGCATGAGAGGTGACTCTGGCAGATACTTCTTGACCCTGGAAAATACGGCTGGTGTTAAAACATTTACTGTCACAGTTGTGGTCATTGGAAGACCAGGTCCAGTGACTGGCCCCATCAAAGTCTCATCTGTGTCGGCTGAATCATGTGTCCTATCATGGGCTGAACCTAAAGATGATGGAGGCACTGAAATTACTAATTACATAGTTGAAAAGCGTGAGTCAGGTACAACAGCTTGGCAGCTCATCAATTCCAGTGTCAAGCGCACTCAGATTAAAGTCACTCATCTCACAAAATACATGGAATATTCCTTCCGTGTCAGTTCAGAGAACAGATTTGGTGTCAGCAAACCTCTAGAATCAGCACCAATAGTTGCTGAGCATCCATTCGGTAAGAAAAATTAAAATCATATTTCAAAGTCTCATTTATTAAATATTTCCACTGAATTTTGTAAAACCATATTCACATTTGATGCCTTTGTTTATATTCAGTCCCACCAAGTGCTCCTACCAGACCTGAAGTGTACTATGTGTCTGCCAATGCCATGTCAATTCGCTGGGAAGAACCCTACCATGACGGTGGCAGTAAAATCATTGGCTACTGGGTTGAAAAGAAAGAACGTAACACCATCCTTTGGGTGAAGGAAAACAAAGTGCCGTGTTTGGAGTGCAACTATAAAGTGACTGGTTTAGTCGAAGGGCTGGAATACCAGTTCAGAACCTACGCACTCAATGCTGCTGGTGTTAGCAAGGCCAGTGAAGCTTCGAGACCTATCATGGCTCAAAACCCAGTCGGTATGTAGATAAAAATCAGGGGTTTGCATTTGTCTTTTGCTATTATTGGTAAACTCAGAGAACTCGGTTATAATTTTAACCTTATTTTTCATCTCTTCTAGATGCACCAGGCAGACCAGAAGTGACAGATGTCACACGATCCACAGTATCACTGATTTGGTCTGCCCCAGTGTACGATGGAGGCAGCAAAGTCTTGGGCTACATCATAGAGCGTAAGCCAGTCAGCGAGGTTGGAGATGGCCGCTGGCTGAAGTGTAACTATACCATTGTGTCTGACAATTTCTTCACCGTGACTGCTCTCAGTGAAGGAGACACTTATGAATTCCGTGTGTTGGCCAAGAATGCAGCAGGTGTAATTAGCAAAGGGTCAGAATCCACAGGCCCCATCACTTGCCGAGATGAATATGGTAAGAAATAGTCAACGTTCTCCTTTAAATTATCACAATTTATGTGGGAGTAAACTCAGATATTCATTCACATCTCTTTTGCGTATTGACAGCTCCACCCAAAGCTGAACTGGATGCCCGATTACAGGGTGACCTGGTTACCATCAGAGCAGGTTCAGATCTTGTTCTTGATGCCGCAGTTGGTGGCAAACCTGAACCCAAAATTATCTGGACCAAAGGAGATAAAGAATTAGATGTCTGTGAAAAAATCTCTATGCAGTACACTGGCAAACGAGCCACTGCTGTGATCAAGTTCTGTGACAGGAGTGACAGTGGAAAATATACCTTAACAGTGAAGAATGCCAGTGGGACCAAGGCCGTGTCTGTCATGGTCAAAGTACTTGGTAAGCATGGTACCAGTTCTTGAACTGTTACAGCATTTTCGCGGGTGAGCGGAAAGAATGGTCTTCATCAAGGCTTATCACACATCTGTTTCAGATTCCCCTGGCCCCTGTGGAAACCTCACTGTCAGCAGAATAACCGAGGAGAAATGCACTTTAGCCTGGAGCCTTCCTCAGGAAGATGGAGGAGCAGAAATAACTCACTACATTGTAGAGCGCCGTGAGACTAGCAGGCTCAACTGGGTGATCGTGGAAGGCGAATGCCCCACTCTATCCTATGTAGTTACCAGACTCATCAAGAACAACGAGTACACGTTCCGAGTGAGGGCAGTAAACAAATATGGCCCTGGTGTGCCTGCTGAATCAGAGCCAATTGTAGCCAGAAACTCATTCAGTGAGTATTAACACTTTTAAACACTTTGGTGACCAAAACATAATGGGATCAGGAAGGGGGGAGAGGGGAAAAGGGCATTCATGATAATAGTGATTGTGTTCAATTCTGACCATTATCCTTATTTCCATACAATACAAACAGCTATTCCATCACAACCTGGCATCCCTGAAGAAGTCGCAGCTGGAAAAGAGCACATCATTATCCAGTGGACAAAACCTGAATCTGATGGTGGCAACGATATCAGCAACTACCTAGTAGACAAACGTGAGAAGAAGAGCCTGCGCTGGACACGTGTCAACAAGGATTATGTGGTATATGACACCAGGCTGAAGGTGACCAGCCTGATGGAAGGTTGTGACTACCAGTTCCGAGTCACGGCAGTGAATGCTGCTGGGAACAGTGAACCCAGCGAAGCTTCCAACTTCATTACATGCAAAGAACCATCATGTGAGTTCTAAGAATCATACGTTAACCTAATGCCCATCAAAACCATTGACAAATAATTGTCCAACATGCCATTCCAAAGAGCTTGTAAAATTTATGAAATGTGCATGCCTAGAAAAGTGTATGTTAGTCTATCTTAGATACAGGCTAGACAGAGAACCCTGTACTTCTGTTGGTAAGTTAGCATTAGTGTTGCTAATAAATTATTAGCTAAATTATCAGTGTCGATAAATTATCGCAGCATTTTTTCCAATTTGTGAAAAAGAAATTAGTCTGCTATCAATATGAAAAATATGTTTCGTAAATCTTCGTAAGAGTGCATTATAGTGGAAACTACTGAAAAGAAAAAAGTCAAGTCCCTTTTGAAAAGAGGCCCAAGAGGAGTATAAAATTTCTAATATTTAATAAGTTACTCATAAAATAATTGTTATGAGAGCTTCAAAACTAAGAGACAAATCCTTTTACAGAGGTTGAGCTCAAGAGCTCAAAGGAATAATTCATTGGTACTGAATGGAGGGATGAGGAAACAGATTCCTGTGTTCAATAGAAACATAGAGGTGATAAATGATATAAACCCAGTGAAAGAGAGCAACTAAAGAAAGTCCCCACAAACAGCTAAGCCCACTGTTTAACCTAAGAGAGAATACATTCAGCTAGCCAAAGTAGTAGGGAAGAAACATCCAACTTCCTGAAGCAATCTGATTGTTAAAATAATATTAGTGATTATGTGGCATATATAGCTGTCCTGTAATATCAGAAAAGCCCAGTTACAAAGCTGGTCTCGCTGAATATGAACAAAGAGCAATAATGCCTTTGTGAATCTAGAAAACCAAAATTACAATTCTCAAAGTTTCCTTGTTTGTATAATATCTACATCCCACTTTTTAAATTCCACAGATACCCCTGGACCACCTTCTGCTCCAAGAATTGTGGATACCACCAAGCGCAGCATTAGTTTGGCATGGACCAAGCCCATGTATGACGGTGGTGCTGACATCATTGGATATGTTCTTGAAATGCAAGAGAAGGACACCGATCAGTGGTACCGAGTGCATACCAATGCCACGATAAGAAATACTGAATTCACCGTGCCAGACCTTAAAATGGGCCAGAAATATTCCTTCCGAGTTGCAGCTGTGAATGTGAAGGGTATGAGTGAATACAGCGAAACAATTGCTGAAATTGAGCCGGTGGAAAGACTAGGTATTTATAATGAAAGCTTTTAAATGAATTAATTTCTCATTCTACCTGTTCATGAATTAATTAAATTTTGGTATTTACTTTCTAGAAATACCAGATCTTGAGCTTGCAGATGATCTAAAGAAGACTGTGACCCTCAGAGCTGGGGCCACGTTGCGCCTAATGGTGTCTGTATCTGGAAGACCACCTCCCGTCATCACATGGAGCAAAAAGGGGATTGACCTTGCAAACCGGGCAATTATTGACAACACTGAGAGCTATTCTTTACTTATTGTGGACAAAGTTAATCGATATGATGCTGGAAAATATACAATTGAAGCAGAAAATCAATCTGGCAAGAAATCAGCAACAGTCCTTGTTAAAGTATACGGTAAGTCTTAAAATTAAGCACACTGTGAGTAGATTCTCTAAAATGGCTCTTTGACTATGATTGATCACTTCTTTAGAGAAGACCTGTGTTGATTATATTTTCCTTTCCCCAACCCCAAATTTATCAACCAATCAGGCAAAGAGGAAATATGGATCTTTCATTCTATTTTTTAGATACTCCTGGTCCTTGTCCATCAGTGAAAGTTAAGGAAGTTTCAAGAGATTCTGTGACTATTACTTGGGAAATTCCCACAATTGATGGTGGTGCTCCGGTCAACAACTACATCATTGAGAAACGTGAAGCTGCCATGAGAGCATTCAAAACAGTCACTACCAAGTGCAGCAAGACACTTTACCGCATTTCTGGACTTGTAGAAGGAACCATGTACTATTTCAGAGTCCTGCCAGAAAACATTTATGGTATTGGAGAACCTTGCGAAACATCTGATGCAGTCCTAGTCTCAGAAGTGCCACTGGTGCCTACAAAGCTAGAGGTGGTTGATGTCACCAAATCCACTGTCACTCTCGCCTGGGAAAAACCACTGTATGATGGTGGTAGCCGACTCACTGGATATGTTCTTGAGGCCTGCAGAGCTGGCACAGAGAGATGGATGAAGGTCGTCACATTAAAGCCCACAGTGCTAGAGCATACTGTTATTTCCTTAAATGAAGGTGAACAGTATCTATTCAGAGTGAGGGCACAAAATGAGAAAGGTGTATCAGAACCAAGAGAGATCGTCACAGCTGTGACTGTACAAGATCTCAGAGGTATGTACTAAATAGCCAAAAAATAACAATAGTAAAATAAAATGAAAACATTCAGAGTTAATAACACTTTATTGTTAGAAATAATGCCTAAAACTAAATGCCTAATTTCTCTCTCATAGTGTTGCCAACAATTGATCTTTCTACAATGCCTCAAAAGACTATCCATGTCCCTGCTGGCAGACCCATAGAGCTGGTGATTCCTATTGCTGGACGTCCACCTCCTACTGCTTCCTGGTTCTTTGCTGGTTCTAAACTGAGAGAATCAGAGCGTGTCACAGTTGAAACGCACACTAAAGTAACTAAATTAACCATCCGTGAAACCACTATAAGAGATACTGGAGAGTATACACTTGAATTAAAGAATGTTACTGGAACTACTTCAGAGACCATTAAAGTTATCATTCTTGGTAAGAATGTGTGACAAAGATACAAGAAAGTTGTTGATGTTCGGTCACCCGATTTTAATTTGAAGTAAAAATTAATTTCCTGGATTTCTTTTTCTTTTTAGACAAGCCTGGTCCACCAACTGGGCCCATCAAAATTGATGAAATTGATGCTACATCAGTTACCATTTCCTGGGAACCCCCTGAATTGGATGGTGGTGCTCCATTGAGCGGCTACGTAGTGGAACAACGTGATGCTCACCGTCCAGGATGGCTGCCAGTTTCTGAATCAGTGACTAGACCAACATTTAAATTTACCAGACTCACTGAAGGAAATGAGTATGTGTTCCGGGTGGCGGCAACAAACCGCTTCGGGATTGGCTCTTACTTGCAGTCTGAGGTCATAGAGTGCCGCAGCAGCATCAGTAAGTCCTCGCAGCCTTCTACCACTCTCCCTGCCTCTGATTATGAATGTTAACAAACAAGAATTGGTTTTCAGTATGCCCTGATGAGATGAAAACTGGCTCATAAAATTAACTCCAGGATGTAAGGTTTCTAAGCCTCCTTTTAACATGATTTCTTTTTTAAATGTCTTCATTCTTATAAAAGAGAAGAGGGGAATTAGAAAAGGAGCATGGAAAGAAGGAAGAAATGGAGGAAGAGAAGTAAGACGGAACCATCAAGCTGTTATAAGAAAAAATAGAGTGCATGCATAAAGTTTATAAATTGAAGAAAATGAGGAACAGAAAAAGTACAAAAGTGAAAGCATTGGGAAAAATATTCACAAGTGTTTCTAATATACCATTTAAAATGCCAAAACATGAATAAAATGAGTCTTTAATTTATTCTCAATGCCATGTTGTGTTTAACTCTGTCTTTCTGTAGGCATTCCTGGACCGCCAGAAACATTACAGGTATTTGATGTCTCCCGTGATGGCATGACACTTACTTGGTATCCACCTGAAGATGATGGCGGCTCCCAAGTGACTGGATATATTGTGGAACGCAAAGAAGTGAGAGCAGATCGGTGGGTCCGTGTAAATAAAGTACCAGTGACAATGACACGGTACCGCTCCACTGGCCTTATTGAAGGCTTAGAATATGAACACCGTGTCACCGCCATTAATGCAAGAGGGACTGGAAAACCAAGTCGTCCTTCCAAACCCATCATTGCCATGGATCCGATCGGTAAATAACATTTTGTATAAGTCAAGCTTATTGAGATAGAATTTATACGTAGTAAAATTCATCCTTCTGAAGCATGTAGTTCTATGAGTTCTGAAAAATGTGCTGTTGTGGAATCACCACCGTAATTAAACTACAGGAAATAGAATACAAAGATTTAGAAAACAAAAAATAGTCTAATGCTAATAGTCCATCAACAACTCAACTGAATGTGTTAGATGGCATGGTTAACTTTCAGTTTTGCAGCAACTTTAACAAGTTATGTTTTTGTTTTATTCCTCTTCCCAGCTCCACCAGGAAAGCCACAAAATCCAAGAGTAACTGATACAACAAGGACATCGGTCTCCCTAGCCTGGAGTGTTCCAGAAGATGAAGGAGGATCTAAGGTCACAGGGTACTTGATTGAAATGCAAAAAGTAGATCAACATGAATGGACCAAATGCAATACCACCCCAACCAAGATTCGGGAGTATACTCTAACACACCTACCTCAGGGCGCTGAATACAGATTCCGTGTCCTAGCTTGTAATGCTGGTGGACCTGGGGAGCCTGCTGAGGTACCAGGAACTGTCAAAGTTACCGAGATGCTTGGTAAGACATGTGATCATTTACTTTCTGCTATACCTACCTTAAGACTTATTGCCTAAACCTCTCACATTTAAAAAAAAAAAAATCTAAATTATAACCTTACCTTTTTCCCCAGAATATCCCGACTATGAACTTGATGAAAGATACCAGGAAGGTGTCTTTGTAAGACAAGGTGGAGTCATCAGACTTACCATACCAATCAAAGGAAAACCATTCCCAATATGTAAATGGACCAAGGAAGGCCAGGATGTTAGTAGGCGCGCCATGATTGCAACATCTGAAACACACACTGAACTTGTGATCAAGGAAGCAGTCAGGGAAGATTCTGGAACTTATGACTTGGTTCTGGAAAACAAATGTGGCAAGAAGACTGTTTACATCAAGGTCAAGGTGATAGGAAATCCCAACACTCCAGAAGGGCCACTAGAATATGACGACATTCAAGCCCGCTCTGTAAGGGTCAGTTGGAGACCTCCTGCTGATGATGGCGGTGCCGACATCTTAGGCTACATCCTTGAAAGAAGAGAAGTGCCTAAAGCTGCCTGGTATACCATTGATTCCAGAGTCCGGGGTACATCTCTGGTAGTGAAAGGCCTCAAAGAAAATGTGGAATACCATTTCCGCGTTTCAGCAGAAAACCAATTTGGCATAAGCAAACCCTTGAAATCTGAGGAACCAGTCATACCAAAAACACCACTGAGTAAGTACTTGTTCAACCACAAAATTGTAAAAAATTACTTCAGTATTCTTGTTTTTAAAATGAAAGCCATCAGTTTCCACGATTTGAGACAGTCTGTGACAGGTATGGGTTTTCCACTTTATTTATAGATCCTCCAGAACCTCCAAGCAATCCTCCAGAAGTACTCGACGTGACCAAGAGTTCTGTGAGCTTGTCCTGGTCCCGACCTAAAGATGATGGTGGCTCTCGAGTCACAGGCTACTACATTGAACGCAAGGAAACATCAACTGACAAGTGGGTCAGACACAACAAGACTCAGATAACCACCACAATGTACACTGTCACTGGGCTTGTTCCTGACGCCGAGTATCAGTTCCGCATCATTGCACAGAATGATGTTGGCCTAAGCGAGACCAGCCCTGCTTCTGAACCAGTTGTCTGTAAAGATCCATTTGGTAAGGAGAAAGCCTCCAGAAGGACTAAAAATCAAAGAAGCAAACTATCTTGTTGACTCTTTTTCTCTTATTTTGCCTGTAAATCTTATTCTCTTCTCAATTTTCTTAAAATATTTCAGATAAACCAAGCCAACCAGGAGAACTTGAGATTCTTTCAATATCCAAAGACAGTGTCACTCTACAGTGGGAGAAACCTGAATGTGATGGTGGCAAAGAAATCCTTGGATACTGGGTTGAATATAGACAATCTGGAGACAGTGCTTGGAAGAAGAGCAATAAGGATCGTATCAAGGACAGGCAATTCACAATAGGGGGTTTGCTGGAAGCTACTGAATATGAATTCAGAGTTTTTGCTGAAAATGAGACTGGGCTTAGCAGACCTCGAAGAACAGCTATGTCTATAAAGACTAAACTAACATGTAAGTAGCCTTGAGTTCTCTGCCTATAATTTATAAACTAAACAACATATTAAGACTAACTATTCTTCTATACTAAGTAGAACTCCATCAAGATTTACTGGAGAACAAGTGTTTGGAAACAAATCATTTGCTTTGGCATATGGATACATAGGGAATAGCTGATAAGTTCTCTGAGAAGCCATTCATGGCACATAATGCCAACAGGAGATGTTAGATGCATGAACTAAAGCACATTCCTGGAGCAAATTCTCTCTCTAATGCAATGGTGGTTTGTTTTGTTTTGGGTTTTTTTTTTTTTAATACCTCTTAGCAAGATTCAAAGGGTTAACAAATGTACCCAACTCAAGGAACCTAAGAAGGGGCAAGAATACTTAAGGTTTATAGAGAGAATGCATATTTCCCCAAAATCTTTTATTACATTGTTAATGTCCTCCCAATCATAAAACAGTCACTCTATATAACAATATGATGATGGGCTCAATTCATTCATTTTCCACATGACTTTAGCAAAATGACTTCAAAGAATCTGTAAGTATTGAAGTCATATGTAACTGTTAGCATAATAGTGCTACCAGTAGGATAAATTCATTGCTGATGTACAAGGACAAAGGATTATAGATTCAGTAGTAATAATGCATTAATATTATGATTCATCTCCTCCAGCTGGAGAGGCCCCTGGAGTACGCCAAGAAATGAAAGATGTTACCACCAAATTGGGTGAAGCTGCTCAACTCTCATGCCAGATTGTCGGAAGGCCTCTTCCTGACATCAAATGGTACCGATTTGGTAAGGAGCTCATACAAAGCCGGAAATATAAAATGTCTTCAGATGGACGCACACATACTCTGACAGTGATGACAGAGGAACAAGAAGATGAAGGCATTTATACCTGTATAGCTACCAATGAAGTTGGAGAAACAGAAAGCAGCAGTAAGCTTCTCCTGCAAGCAGCGCCACAGTTCCATCCTGGTTACCCACTGAAAGAGAAGTATTATGGTGCTGTGGGTTCTACGCTTCGACTTCACGTCATGTACATTGGTCGTCCAGTACCTGCCATGACTTGGTTCCATGGACAGAAACTTTTGCAAAACTCAGAAAACATTACTATTGAAAACACTGAACACTATACTCATCTAGTCATGAAGAATGTCCAGCGTAAGACTCATGCTGGGAAATATAAAGTTCAGCTCAGCAATGTCTTTGGAACAGTTGATGCCATTCTTGATGTAGAAATACAAGGTATTTTGGTTTTGCTTATGGTGATTTTCTGTTTTTTAAAAAAAATCTTGGGAAATGCACTATGAAAATCACTACAATTATATTTTTCTCCCAACAGATAAACCAGACAAACCTACAGGACCGATTGTGATTGAAGCTCTACTAAAGAACTCTGTGGTCATCAGCTGGAAACCCCCAGCTGATGATGGCGGCTCTTGGATCACCAATTACGTAGTAGAGAAGTGTGAGGCCAAGGAAGGGGCTGAATGGCAATTGGTGTCTTCAGCCATCTCAGTGACAACCTGCAGAATCGTGAACCTCACAGAAAATGCTGGTTATTACTTCCGGGTTTCAGCTCAGAACACCTTTGGCATCAGTGATCCCCTGGAGGTGACCTCAGTTGTGATCATTAAGAGTCCATTTGGTGAGTACAACCTGGACCCTCTTTTCTCTTATCTCATACACTAACACCTGTCTTTAAAAGAGTTTTTTTTTTTTTTTTGTAAACAGAAATAAATTTTGAAAAGAAATAGCAAAGATTCAGATAAAGAAGAATACCTTTTCTCTCACTTTAATTGAATGTTTGCATATCTAAAAGGGGACACATATAGTCTAGCTCCATCTTTATAGGGGAGTTTTATTTTTTGACACATTTCTTAGCATAGGTTAACTAGTTCCATTTGTCTAAAATAGCTATATTAAATAGAACTTTGGAATTATTCACTTTTAGGGCTGGGGTTGAGGCTTAGTGGTAGATTGCTTGCCTAGCATGTGTGAAGCACTAGTTTTGATCCTCAGTACCACATAAAAAATAAGTAAATAAAATAAAATTTAAAAAATAATAAGCTTTTAATAAAGATGCCTGTTTCACCTCATGACTTAAATCTTTTATTTTCTAATAGAAAAACCAAGTGCTCCTGGCAAACCAACCATTACTGCTATCACAAAAGATTCTTGCGTTGTGGCTTGGAAACCACCTGCGAGTGATGGAGGCGCAAAGATTAGAAATTACTACCTTGAAAAGCGTGAGAAGAAGCAGAATAAATGGATTGCTGTGACAACAGAAGAAATTCGAGAAACGGTCTTTTCAGTGCAAAACCTTATTGAAGGTCTTGAATATGAGTTCCGTGTGAAATGTGAAAACCTAGGTGGTGAAAGTGAATGGAGTGAAATATCAGAACCTGTCACTCCCAAATCTGATGTCCCCATTCAGGCACCACACTTTAAAGAGGAACTGAGAAATCTAAATGTGAGATATCAGAGCAATGCTACTTTGGTCTGCAAAGTGACTGGTCATCCAAAACCTATTGTAAAATGGTACCGACAAGGCAAAGAAATCATTGCAGATGGATTAAAGTATAGGATTCAAGAATTTAAGGGTGGTTACCACCAGCTCATAATTGCAAGTGTCACTGATGATGATGCCACAGTTTACCAAGTCAGAGCTACCAACCAAGGTGGATCCGTGTCTGGCACAGCCTCCTTGGAAGTGGAAGGTAAACACGAATCAATAAATGTCAATTTGGTGTCTGATAACCTACCATTAAAATGTTGGGGGGAGTGTTACACTTAATGAGATTACTACATCATATTCTTTTTTTCTTTTATTCTGATACAGTTCCAGCTAAGATACACTTGCCTAAAACTCTTGAAGGCATGGGAGCAGTTCATGCCCTCAGAGGTGAGGTGGTCAGCATCAAGATCCCCTTCAGTGGCAAACCGGACCCTGTGATTACCTGGCAGAAAGGACAGGATCTCATTGACAATAATGGCCACTACCAAGTTATTGTCACAAGATCCTTCACATCACTTGTTTTCCCCAATGGAGTAGAGAGAAAAGATGCTGGTTTCTATGTGGTCTGTGCTAAAAACAGATTTGGAATTGATCAAAAGACAGTTGAACTTGATGTGGCTGATGTTCCTGACCCACCCAGAGGAGTAAAAGTCAGTGACGTCTCACGAGATTCTGTCAACTTAACGTGGACAGAGCCGGCTTCTGATGGTGGCAGCAAAATCACCAACTATATTATTGAAAAATGTGCAACTACTGCAGAAAGGTGGCTTCGGGTAGGACAGGCCCGAGAAACACGTTACACGGTGATCAACTTATTTGGAAAGACAAGTTACCAATTCCGGGTAATAGCCGAAAATAAGTTTGGCCTGAGCAAGCCTTCTGAGCCTTCAGAACCAACCATAACCAAAGAAGATAAGACCAGAGCTATGAATTATGATGAAGAGGTAGATGAAACCAGGGAAGTTTCCATGACTAAAGCATCTCACTCCAAAACCAAGGAACTCTATGAGAGATATATGATTGCTGAAGATCTTGGACGTGGCGAGTTTGGAATTGTCCACCGCTGTGTTGAAACTTCCTCAAAGAAAACATTCATGGCCAAATTTGTCAAAGTCAAGGGGACTGATCAAGTTTTGGTAAAGAAAGAGATTTCCATTCTAAACATTGCTAGGCACAGAAATATCTTATACCTCCACGAATCATTTGAAAGCATGGAAGAATTAGTTATGATCTTTGAGTTTATATCAGGACTTGACATATTTGAGCGCATTAATACAAGTGCTTTTGAACTCAACGAAAGAGAAATTGTAAGTTATGTTCGCCAAGTCTGTGAAGCACTGGAGTTCTTACACAGTCATAATATTGGACACTTTGACATTAGACCAGAAAACATCATTTACCAAACAAGAAGGAGCTCCACAATTAAAATCATAGAATTTGGTCAAGCTCGTCAGCTGAAGCCAGGGGACAACTTCAGGCTTCTGTTCACCGCCCCTGAATATTATGCACCGGAAGTTCACCACCATGATGTTGTCAGCACAGCCACAGACATGTGGTCACTTGGGACACTGGTATATGTGCTGCTGAGTGGTATCAACCCATTCCTGGCTGAAACTAACCAACAGATAATTGAGAATATCATGAATGCTGAATATACTTTCGATGAAGAAGCATTCAAAGAAATTAGCCTTGAAGCCATGGATTTTGTTGACCGGCTATTAGTGAAAGAGAGAAAATCTCGCATGACAGCAACTGAGGCACTCCAACACCCATGGCTGAAGCAGAAGATCGACAGAGTCAGTACTAAAGTCATTAGAACTTTAAAACACCGGCGCTACTACCACACTCTGATCAAGAAAGACCTCAACATGGTTGTGTCAGCAGCCAGGATCTCCTGTGGTGGTGCAATTCGATCTCAGAAGGGAGTGAGCGTTGCTAAAGTTAAAGTCGCATCCATCGAAATAGGCCCAGTTTCTGGGCAGATAATGCATGCAGTTGGTGAAGAAGGAGGATATGTCAAATATGTATGCAAAATTGAAAATTATGATCAGTCTACCCAAGTAAGCTGGTATTTCGGTGTCAGACAGCTGGAGAACAGTGAGAAATATGAAATCACCTATGAAGATGGAGTGGCCACCATGTATATCAAAGACATTACCAAATTCGACGATGGTACCTACAGATGCAAAGTCGTCAACGACTATGGTGAAGACAGTTCTTACGCAGAGCTGTTTGTTAAAGGTGTGAGAGAAGTTTATGACTATTACTGCCGTAGAACCATGAAGAAAATTAAGCGCAGAACAGATACCATGAGACTCCTGGAAAGACCACCAGAATTTACCCTGCCTCTCTATAACAAGACGGCTTATGTGGGTGAAAATGTCCGGTTTGGAGTAACTATAACTGTCCACCCAGAGCCTCGTGTAACATGGTATAAATCAGGTCAGAAGATCAAACCAGGTGATGATGACAAAAAGTACACGTTTGAGTCTGACAAAGGTCTTTACCAATTAACAATCAACAGTGTCACTACAGACGATGATGCCGAGTATACGGTTGTGGCAAGGAACAAATACGGTGAAGACAGCTGTAAAGCAAAGCTGACGGTAACCCTACACCCACCTCCAACAGATACAACCCTAAGACCCATGTTCAAACGGCTACTGGCCAACGCAGAATGCCAGGAAGGCCAAAGTGTCTGCTTTGAGATCCGAGTGTCAGGCATTCCCCCACCAACATTAAAATGGGAGAAAGACGGACAGCCACTGTCCCTTGGGCCTCACATTGAAATTGTCCATGAAGGCTTGGATTATTATGCTTTGCACATCAGAGATACTTTGCCTGAAGACACGGGTTACTATCGAGTCACAGCCACAAACACAGCTGGGTCCACCAGCTGCCAGGCTCACTTACAAGTGGAACGTTTGAGATACGTCAAACAGGAGTTCCAGAGTAAGGAGGAACGGGAACGCCACGTCCAAAAACAGATTGACAAGACGCTCAGAATGGCTGAGATTCTTTCCGGAACTGAAACTGTGGCCCTGACACAGGTAGCCCAAGAGGCTCTGAGAGAAGCGGCTATCCTTTATAAACCAGCCGTGAGCACCAAGACTGTAAAAGGGGAATTCCGACTTGAAACTGAAGAAAAGAAGGAGGAGAGAAAACTCCGCATGCCTTATGAAGTACCAGAGCCACGCAAGTACAAACAGACCACCATTGAGGAAGACCAACGCATCAAGCAGTTCGTGCCCATGTCTGACATGAAATGGTATAAAAAGATCCGTGACCAATATGAGATGCCTGGGAAACTGGACAGAGTGGTTCAGAAAAGACCCAAGCGCATTCGCCTTTCCAGATGGGAACAGTTCTACGTGATGCCCCTCCCGCGCATTACAGATCAATACAGACCTAAGTGGCGCATTCCCAAGCTGTCCCAGGATGACCTGGAGATGGTGAGGCCAGCCCGCCGACGTACACCCTCTCCAGAATATGACTTTTATTACAGGCGCAGGAGACGCTCTCTGGGTGACATCTCCGATGAAGAGCTGCTCCTCCCCATTGATGACTACCTGGCAATGAAAAGGACAGAGGAGGAGCGGCTGCGTCTGGAGGAAGAGCTTGAGCTGGGTTTCTCCGCTTCACCCCCCAGCCGAAGCCCTCCACGTTTTGAGCTTTCTAGCCTCCGTTACTCTTCTCCACAAGCTCATGTCAAGGTGGAGGAATCAAGAAAAGACTTCAGATATTCGACCTACCACATCCCTACCAGGGCTGAAACGAGTACGAGTTATGCAGAGCTGCGAGAACGGCACGCCCGGGCCTCGTACAGACAGCCCAAGCAGCTGCAGAGGATCATGGCCGAGAGGGAGGACGAAGAGCTGCTCCGTCCGGTCACTACCACCCAGCGTCTCTCAGAATACAAGAGCGAGCTTGACCACATGTCCAAGGAAGAAAAGTCTAAAAAGAAATCAAGACGACAGAGAGAAGTGACCGAAATAACAGAAATTGAGGAAGAATACGAAATCTCAAGACGTGCACAGAGAGAATCGTCCTCCTCCGCCTCCAGGCTCCTGAGACGGCGGCGCTCCCTGTCACCAACTTACATTGAGCTAATGAGGCCGGTGTCGGAATTGATCCGATCACGTCCACCGCCAGCTGAGGAATACGAAGAGGACTTAGAAAGAAGATCCCCTACTCCAGAGAGAACCCGCCCACGTTCCCCCAGTCCTGTGTCTAGTGAGAGGTCACTCTCAAGATTTGAGAGGTCTGCAAGATTTGATATCTTTTCCAGGTATGAGTCCATGAAAGCCGCTTTAAAGACTCAGAAGACATCCGAGAGGAAGTATGAAGTCCTGAGTCAGCAGCCTTTCACACTGGACCACGCCCCTCGAATCACACTAAGAATGCGCTCCCATAGGGTGCCCTGTGGCCAAAATACTCGCTTCATCTTAAACGTTCAGTCTAAGCCAACTGCTGAGGTTAAATGGTACCACAACGGTGTGGAGCTCCAAGAGAGCAGCAAGATTCATTACACCAACACAAGTGGAGTCCTGACGCTGGAGATTCTGGACTGCCACAGTGATGACAGCGGAACCTACCGCGCTGTATGCACCAACTACAAAGGAGAAGCTTCTGACTATGCAACCTTGGATGTAACAGGAGGGGATTATACCACCTATGCATCCCGGCGAAGAGATGAAGAGGTCCCCAGATCAGTTTTCCCTGAGCTGACAAGAACAGAGGCATATGCAGTTTCATCGTTTAAGAAAACATCTGAGATGGAAGCTGCTTCTTCCGTCAGAGAAGTGAAATCACAGATGACAGAGACAAGGGAAAGTCTCTCATCCTATGAACACTATGCTTCTGCAGAAATGAAAAGCACTGCATTAGAAGAAAAGTCACTGGAAGAAAAATCCACAACCAGAAAGATCAAGACAACACTGGCTGCGAGAATTCTAACAAAGCCACGGTCCATAACTGTGTACGAAGGCGAGTCTGCCAGGTTTTCTTGCGATACAGATGGTGAGCCGGTACCAACTGTGACCTGGCTGCGGGGAGGGCAAGCGATAAGTACTTCTGCCCACCACCAAGTGACCACTGCAAAGTACAAATCGACCTTTGAGATCTCTTCAGTGCAGGCGTCTGATGAAGGCAGCTACAGCGTGCTGGTAGAGAACAGCGAGGGGAAGCAGGAAGCACAGTTTACCTTGACGGTTCAGAAGGCCAGGGTTACAGAAAAGGCTGTGACATCCCCACCCAGGGTCAAATCCCCAGAACCTCGGGTAAAATCTCCAGAAGCAGTGAAGTCTCCCAAACGAGTGAAATCACCAGAACCAGTGACTTCTCATCCAAAAGCTGTGTCACCTACAGAGACAAAGCCTACACCAACAGAGAAAGTTCAGCAGCTGCCAGTCTCTGCTCCACCAAAGATAACTCGATTCCTGAAAGCAGAAGCTTCTAAAGATGTTGCAAAACTAACCTGTGCAGTTGAAAGTAGTGTATTAAGTGCAAAAGAGGTCACCTGGTACAAAGATGGCAAGAAACTGAAGGAAAATGGGCATTTCCAGTTTCATTATTCAGCCGATGGTACCTACGAACTCAAAATTCATAACCTCACTGAGTCTGACTGTGGGGAATATGTCTGTGAGATTTCTGGGGAAGGTGGAACTTCCAAAACTAACTTCCAGTTTACGGGACAGGCCTTTAAAAGTATCCATGAGCAGGTATCCAGCATATCTGAAACTAAGAAATCAGCTCAGAAAACTGCCGAGTCAACAGAAACTAAGAAATCAGCTCAGAAAACCGCTGAATCAACAGAAACCAAGGTATCAGCTCAGAAAACTACCGAATCAATAGAAACCAAGAAAACTGAACCAAAAGCTCCTGAACCAATTTCCTCAAAACCAGTAATTGTTACTGGGCTACAGGATACAACCGTTTCTTCAGACAGTGTTGCTAAATTTACAGTTAAAGCCACTGGAGAACCGCAGCCAATCGTCAACTGGACAAAGGATGGAAAGGTAACCAGTTCTTAACTGTCCCTTTTTCTTTTTCAAAAACTAACCTCTCCCTTCATCCCCACTCAAAAATAGAAATTAAAATTAAGTGACTTTTAAAAGTTCAAATCATTTGCATTCCACAGGCTATTACACAAGGAGGTAAATATAAACTCTCTGAAGACAAAGGAGTATTCCTCTTAGAAATTCATAAGACTGAAACTTCTGACAGCGGACTTTATACTTGTATGATAACAAATTCAGTTGGATCAGTGTCCTCCAGCTGCAAATTGACAATAAAAGGTAGGCCAACGTTTGTTCTTAACCAACATTTTCCAGAAAACAATATAAAGGAAACATTTTTTAACATCCCCTATTACATACACAAGAAAATTTTAAAAACATATTTTTTCTAATTCTAGAATGCCATTTGTACATAAATATATAAGCTCAAACAGTTAATGTGAACCTTTATATCAGTATATAGATCATGCATATTTATATGTGGAATTATATAAGATTCCACAAACAAACCCAGCCCCCAGGAATACCCAAGAATAAAGTCAGGTAAATATACAAAATGGTACTGCTTCCTTAAACTTTCACTCTTGTTTTTTTCCAAAGTGATACAAAGTTAATGAGAGGCTATATCTGTTTTCCCAATTAAAATTTGTTTGCTTTCATCTCAGTCTTTTAAAAGGTGATTTAATTTTTCAGTTACTTGAAATATTTTCAGTCCACACATCTCCTAAATCTTTTGACTATTCTTTTCAAGACTTTTTTTTCCTTAAGTCATAAAAATCATCTTCGACTTAGTTTAAGGAATCCTTACACTTAGAAGTCATACATGACAATTTTCCTAGATTGGATCTGAGACAGAATTGGTTACCTCTACATATATAGGTTAGAATTTTTTTCCTTCTGACTCTATATTATGAACATGCAAAATCTAAAGAAAGGGTGGAGGGAGGTCTTTTTACAATTAAGTTTGCCTTACAGAGATTTCTTATTTTAGCTATAAAAGACACTGAGGCACAGAAAGTATCTACACAAAAGACCTCTGAAATCACACCTCAGAAGAAGGCAGTTGTCCAAGAAGAAATTTCCCAAAAATCTCTGACTTCTGAAGAAATCAAGGTGTCAGAGGTGAAATCTAAAGAAAAGTTAGCATTCAAGGAGGAAGAATCAAAGGTTCTGATCTCTGAAGAAGTCAAGAAATCAGCAGCAGCCTCCCTGGAAAAATCCATTGTCCATGAGGAAATCACAAAAACATCACAGGCATCAGAAGAAATTAGAACTCATGCTGAGATAAAAGCCTTTTCTACTCAGATGAGTATAACCGATGGTCAAAAAGTGACTTTAAAAGCCAACATTGCTGGTGCCACTGATGTGAAATGGGTCCTGAATGGCATGGAGCTCACCAACTCTGAGGAGTACAGATATGGGGTCTCAGGCAGTGACCAGACCCTGACAATCAAGCAAGCCAGTCACAGAGATGAAGGAATCCTCACCTGCATAGGCAAAACCAGTCAAGGCATCGTCAAGTGTCAGTATGACTTGATCTTAAGCAAAGAACTCTCAGATGCTCCAGCCTTCATCTCACAGCCCAGATCTCAAAATGTTAATGAAGGACAAAATGTCCTCTTTACTTGTGAGATCAGTGGGGAGCCATCTCCTGAAATAGAATGGTTTAAAAACAACTTGCCAGTAAGTGAAATCATGAATGCATTACTGAAGAAAAATTTAGATACCATGTCTATCGATGAAGAACATAAATACCGTTTTTCTCCTTCATTTTAGATTTCGATCTCTTCAAATATCAGTGTAAATCGCTCCAGAAATGTATACACTCTTGAAATCCGGAATGCATCAGTAAGCGACAGTGGAAAGTACACAATTAAAGCCAAAAATTTCCGTGGCCAATGTTCAGCCACTGCTTCCTTAACAGTCCTTCGTAAGTATATCTTGGCCATTTCCCTTACTTAAGGTTTTCGTGGGGTTATGGGGGTGGTTGTTGACAGAGTGCAGACAACTCTCAAAAGCTGCTATCAATTCCGTGTGGAAAGGGGATAGGCATCCTGTGTGAATTCACCCTTACAGTTGGTTTCTTTACAGCTAAACAGAAACTTGGATAAGTTGAATTTCCAAGCAAAGCTACCAACTACCTTGTAACACTTACTTTCAGAATGTACAATGTCAATTATTTTCTATATCACTAATCATTTTTCTCCTAGTGACTCCTAGCATCTGCATGTAATGTAATGATAGGAAATATAAGGATTCGTTTCTTGGAGACATTGAGCTAGCTCTTGACAAATGTATGTATTCATGTATTCGCTTACGCTTCAACAGCAAATTGTTTGGGTTATGTTTCTGTGTGTCTTAAGTTTTCATTTCTGTAAGTCATTGTCAGATGTCACCATTTAACCAGATGTCATTGATGTTCACTGTGTATCTGCTATGCTCCACAGCTCTAGTTGAAGAACCTTCCAGAGAGGTAGTATTGAGGACAAGTGGTGACACAAGCTTGCAAGGAAGCTTCTCGTCTCAGTCAGTCCAAATGTCTGCCTCTAAGCAGGAGGCCTCCTTCAGCAGTTTCAGCAGCAGCAGTGCTAGCAGCATGACTGAAATGAAATTTGCAAGCATGTCTGCCCAAAGCATGTCCTCCATGCAAGAGTCCTTTATAGAAATGAGTTCCAGCAGTTTTATGGGAAAATCTAGTATGAAACAACTGGAAAGCTCAACTAGTAGAATGCTTAAAGCAGGCGGAAGAGGTGAGCAATAAAATTACTGGTAGAGGTAGACTAGCCAAGTAGCGTGGTGTAGTCTTTAGTACACATAATTTAGTAGCAAGCATATCGTTATTTTTTCAGTGATCCTAAGACCTTTTTGTTGTTCCCTAAAGGAATTCCACCTAAAATCGAAGCTCTTCCCTCTGATATCAGCATCGATGAAGGCAAAGTTCTAACAGTAGCCTGTGCTTTTACGGGGGACCCGACCCCAGAAATAACATGGTCCTGTGGTGGAAGAAAAATCCAAAACCAAGAACAACAAGGGAGATTCCACATTGAAAACACAGATGACCTGACAACCCTGATCATCATGGACGTACAGAAACAAGATGGTGGACTTTATATCCTGAGTTTAGGGAATGAGTTTGGCTCCGACTCTGCCACTGTGAACATAAACATTCGTTCCATTTAAGAGGGCCTTGTGCCCTTATACTCTACATTCATTCTTAACTTTTCACAAATAATTCACATGGACTAATCTTTCTGATCTGTAAATATTTTTTAAACAGTAGTTTTGTATCCACCTAAATGAGTCAAGTTCAAAAATACACATTTCGATCTCTCATAATTGTTGACCTAAGAATATTAGACATTTCCTAATGACATGTACATACTGTATATAGCCGGATTAACGGTTATAAAGTTTTGTACCTTTATTTTATGACATTTTACAATGTAACTTTTGAAACTAACTGTTGGCAGGAGAAAGTTTCTTATGGAACGAATACCCTGCTCAACACTTAATCTTTGTGCCTCAACATACTGTTGATGTCTAAGTATGCCTCAGTGGGTTGAGAAATTCCCCACTGAAGATGTCCTACCCACCTCAAAGATGATGCTGCTGCACATGTCATCTGATATGTGCACCAATACCTATTGAATCAGAAATGTAAGGCATTGGTGATGTTTGCATTTACCCTCCTGTAAGCACCACTTTAATGTTTTACATTTTCTTGATGATGTCATACTTAAAATTATCATGACTTAAATATTACCAGAGCAAAGTGTAACGGCCAACACTTTGTTCGCTCATTATACACTGTCTCTGCCATAAAGAGTGCCTGGATAGCTTGGAAAAGTACCATCACCTGGCCATCCCCTCATTTAACCAAGTTATCCAAGTATTCCTATGCCAGAGCAGTGTCAACTCCTGGAGGTCCCAGGTGCAGTCAATGCCTTTGTGTGGTAGCTCTAAATTTAAATTACAACTGAAAAACCGGGCAACTAAGCAATGAGCCACAGCAAAAAGTAAAGTACAACAACATAATAAAGCTGTTGTTAAGTTAAAAATAACATTACAAACTGCCCAAAATGTCAATTTGATGTAGTTCTTTTCATGCAAGTATAAATTCAATTGTTAGTGATACTATTACTGGACCTCCTTGAGATAGTAACAACAAAATAAAGCAAGCTATCTGCACCTCAAACTGTGTGGTGGTTGTTTTCTGTAAGATTTTAGGGTAGAGAAGTATGTGCTTCACACATCACAGATGTGATCATAGATAAAGCAACACAACTTGAAAATAGCCCATGTTAATAAGTTCTTTTAAGCAAATATTTAAGTTGCTGTTTTGTATATTTTGCTTTAAAAGTCTAGATATAGTTCTTGAGGACAAATTTATCCTCAAAAGCTTGTGTTCTAAACTTATCAAGATAAACTGTTTTATGGGAGGCGAGTCAACTAAATTCAAAGATGAACATCTGCATTTCACAGTATTTTGTGCTAGATATCAGACAGAACAATGCAAAGATAAGTAAGATGACATGGATCTTGTCCATTTGAGAAGTACAGTGAACAGAAAATGACAAACACAGGGACTGAGTCCATATTAACTACTGTAGCTCCAAAATAAGACAGAACAAATGAAAGACTTAGGACTGAAGAACTTATTTAAATAGTATATTTCTACCATGCTTTTTGAAATAACTGATACTCCATTTAAAAAAAGTAAAAAATCTAGCACCATAAACACCTGTATTTATCCTCTTCAGTTAGCTTAACAGTAATTGTAAACCCATGATGTTGGTTATTTGCCTAAATTGACCTCCTTAATGTAACTGCAAGTGTTCAAAGATGAAGCATATGTACCATTCATTTTTATTTTCCAAAGGAAGATCTTGGATCTTCATTAATTTATTCGTCAAGTTTCCTGTCTTAAATCAGATTCCCAAAAGCAAAACTCAGATTCTTGTCTTAACCCAGAGCCTGGAATTTTGACTTTTTAGCTGTTTTGGTCAACAAAGAAC